CTTGCCTGGGCCACATGCTCCTCAAGTGGGTGGAAACAGCTGCTTTGTGCAGGGCGTGTAAATTCTGACTGGTCTTGAACGGCAGGGGTTAGTTTATGCAGCCATCCATGGAGTCCAGTCCCACAGGGTGGGAGAGCCCGCCACCTCCCCAGCTCATGGCTTCCATTGTCAGACTGCTCTGACGGCCAGGGCATTTTTCCCGATACAATGGTACCTCGGTTCACGAGCGCCTCAGTTCACGACCAAATCAGGTCGTGAACAAAAACTTCATAAAAATTTTGACTCAGGTCGTGAACTCTGCATTGGGTGGCGACTACGATAGCAGCCATCCCCCCCCCCACCCGCCGAGTGGGGAGATGGCTGCGATCATGCTGGGGGCGGGGAGGAGATGGCCAAGATAGCGCCCAGCTTTCCTGCATGAGCGCGCCTGTGATTGCACCCGTCTTTCCTGCACGAATGCAACCACAACCTCGGCCATCTCCCCACACCAGCACGATTGCGCCTGTCTCCCCCCCCGCACGCCCGCATTTTCACCCGTCTCGCATGATGACAGGCGCGATCGCAGTCATGCTGGAGGGGTGGGGAGATGCCTGCGCTCGTGCTTGGGGTGGGAGGGGGGGAGATGGCCAGGATGTTTGTTGTTCTTCATCACTTTGCTTCACATTTTTCTGATTTAAAAACAAATAGTTACAGAATGGATTAGCCTTATTTACATTGACTCTTATGGGGAACTTTGATTTGGCTCACGACCAATTTGGGTCATGACCAGAGTCCTGGAATGGGTTAAGCCGAGGGGCCTCTGTGGAACTTGAGCCCATTATTCCATGTCTTGCACTCTGAGACGATCAAGAGGCCTTGTCTTTCCTCTTCCTGGCAGCCTTGGAAGCACTCGGAGAGCACTGTCCTATCTCCCCTGTCTTCTTTTCTCCAGACGAAACATGCCCCGTTCTTTCCATTTCTCCGCACAGAGCTTTGTGTCCGATCCCCAGGTGTCGTGCCTTAAGGCAAGAGAGGGCCGGAAGCTCACAGTGAGAGTCAGGCATGGGAACAAGGGGATTTGTACTTGGTGCCCAGGGCCCAAACGGCCCCTCTGCAGCCCGACTCAGAGTGCCCTGAGCACCAAGTATAAATCCCCTTGTTCCAGTGCCTGACTCTCACTGTGAGCTTCCGGCCCTCTCTCACGAGCCAACGCCTCTGTCAAGCTGTAAGGCACGACACCAGGTCAGCCTTGCTGCCCTCTGAACCCTTCCAGCTTGCCTGAGGCCTTCTTACAAGCTCTCAAAGCCTAGCTACCATGTAGATGTCTGGCTGATTTTGGCTGTGGAAGTGTCATGGCTCCAGGCACACCACGTTTCTCTTGCCCTCCCTGTCCTGCCAAATGCCCCACAGACTCACCTGCCTGGGTGGCTCGAGGGACATCAGAGGTGCAGGGTTCTTTCCACACCAGCTGCAAGGTTTGGGTAGGAGGGTGTCCCAAGCTTGGAGGCCCTGCTGCAAGCTTGGTGTGCTTTTCCAGGCCTGTGGCTGGCTTCCTGAGGAATCCTTGAGGGCCAGCTCAGGGTTCGACATGGGACGTGGAGGAGGCAAAGCCTCCCCCCCCACCCCAGCAGCTGGGCCTCCGTGATGCCACAGAAGGTCACTATGTGGCTTCAGCGCATTCTGGGATCACTGCCCCAATGATTGTTTTCCTTCCTGCAGAGACTAGTCACCAGGCACTCCAGAGCATGCCCAGAGTTCTGCGGGAGGTGGAAGCCTTAAAGCAGGAGGCAACTTTCCTGAAGGAGCAAATGGTCCTGGTCAGGGAAGATATTAAGAAGTTGGAGCAGGACACGGCTCAGTCGATGCAGGTATTTTGTTCTGTTATGTGAGCAGGTGCAAGGACATGGTCCTTCCTAAGATAGCCTGAGGCAAATGCCCCTCGCGCCACCCCTGAGCCAGCTCTGCTCCTGAGCTGGGGTCTGGAGCCCAAGACAATGGCCAGTCCTGGCTGTGTTCAGACATGCAGAATCACAAGGCATGTGGCAGCAGTGGCAGCACCCCTCTGGAGCAGCAGAAATGCCAGATCGGACCTAAGCAGGGTGAAAAGCCTGACCAAACTCCCGTGCCTTGTCCCTCAGGCTGGAAAAGAAACCAGAAAAGATACTGGAATCTTTTGGACCCAAAGCCAATCAGAACCTTAAGCAGCAAAAAGAACAAAGCTGGGTTACTTACGTGTAGTAATTTGGTTCAACTGGCCTTTACCTTAGCACGTATTTAAAAGCAGGCTAGTGGAAAAGAGGGGAGCACCAAAACTCCCAGAGTTACTGGGTGGCGGAGAAATAAAATGCGCAATGCAGCACTTTGCCACTGAATATACGGTTTCTGGTGAAAGATGTTTTACCGCCAGCAGTCTGAAAAGAGCTAAAGTTTGTCAAGGATTTTATATGGTTGAGTGAAAAGCTGCCCTTCCACATGGAGATCCCAGATCATAGGTTCACGGTGGATGATGGAGGCAGCTTGTGGCTTGCAATGTGCTCTCTGCCAGGTCTTGGTCCAGCTGGATCATGTGAAGTCCAGGATGCAGCTGGCTGCTGACTCGCTCCAGGAGGCCGACAAATGGAGCACTCTCAGCGCTGACATTGAGGAGACCTTTAAAACCCAGGTATCCGTCTCTCTGGCTGCAGACAAATGAGCTTCCTGTAGAACAAATGAGCCATGCAGTGAGCAAAGAGGTGGGTTTTCTTTTCCCAGAGGCTGTGCCATGATGTCTGACGTAAACTAGCCATTAAGAGTCTGGGGGTTCCACCTGCTCTCCATGGGTCTCCTGTCTCGGGTTCCTCAGGGTGGGGGATGCCAGCCTACGGCTCCTGCAGCCCCATTCCAGTTTGGGCACACTGTCCCACAGCTCGATTAGTGCACCATGTGTGGCAGAAGCAGCTCCCCAGTTGCAGCGCTCTTGTCAGCAGGGTTGACACCAGCTCTCACCAGCTTGGTGGGACTGAGAGAGGTTTGCAGCAGCTCAAGGTGACCTGCGGGCATGGGGGCATAAGAATAAGGGTGCTGGGCTTGGCTGTGTGCAGTGCTGAAATGGGCCGCACCGAACAATAGCGCCGGAACAGGAGCAGGGAGCCATGGGAGGGACTCTGATCAGCAGGTGTCGTTGCTGGGAAAGCAAGAGGTGTTCAAGCTTCAGCTGTAAAAAGTGTCCACTTAAGCCAAACGCTGAAGAGGAGTGTAGCGCTCACAGCATGCCAAGCAGTCGTCATGGTGGCCTGTGTGATCTGGATGGCCTTGTAATTCTCCCCTGGTAATTTTTGTGTAGATTCCACTTCGGCAGAAGTGTCTTGTACATGTTTGGGGTTTGCTTGCTTTGGGGCCAGGCGCTGATTTTGCCTCTTCTGGCTGTGATTCCTCCTGACGTACTCTCAGCCTGGAAATGTACACATTTCTTTGTGTTTTTAAGGCACCTTCTGTTGTGGCTTCTCTTCCTTCAAAGTAAATTGGGACTCGAAGAGGGTTCTGAGCATCCCACAGGAGGAGGGCGGGGGTGAACAGGGGCCTTGGCAGGGCGTGTGTGCAGCCTGTTCCTCCCAGGCCGTGATGCTAACACAGCTGTTCCCTTGCTCAGGATGTCTCTGTGATCTCAGCCAAGCTGACAAGCATGCAGACCAGCCTGGCTGTGCTGGTGGACACGCCAGACTACTCAGAAAAGTGTGTGCACTTGGAGGCCCTCAAGAACCGGCTGGAGGCCCTGGCCAGCCCGCAGATTGTGTCTGCCTTCAGCACCCAGTCCCTTGGTGAGTAGGAATCTGCCTCCATGGCCACCCCTTGGCAAAGGCGCTGGGGAGGCTGGGGCGGCTTCTGGCCGATCCCACCCTGAAGCTGGCCAGGGACTGTGGAGCAGGCAGCTTCTTGGAGGATGTTGATCATTGTTCTTATTAATACCTTTAAACATTTCCTTGTTTTGGAGTATTGTCCCTCATCATCCAGAAGATTGAAGCTTGGTTAAAGTACTCAGCCACTGCCCCAGTTCAGAGTTGTGCTGAAGAAAGCCCATTTCTCGTTGGAAAGCTTAAGCAAGCCTCAACGAGAAGAGAGGTCTTCCTTGTGTCTGATAGGCTTTAAGTCTGTGCATTTGGCAGGTCTTTACAGAAAAAGGGCCCCTTGAACCACTAAAGAGATTGGTGTGTAGCTGGAATCAGGGAGGGGCTGCTTTGGTAGACCTGGGGAGCTTCTGGACTTCTAAGATTTTTTAGGTTATCAACACTGAACTTTTAAAGGCTGGCCTGATGCATCGCATGGCACCTACACAGCAATGCAAAGATGTAACATTTCTTGTTGTTGTTGTTGTTAGTCGCAAAGTCGTGCCCGACCCATCGCGACCCCATGGACAACACTCCTCCAGGCCTTCCTGTCCTCCACCTTTCCCCGGAGTCCACCCAAGCTCACATCGACTGCTTCAGTGACTCCATCCAGCCGCCTCATTCTCTGCCGCCCCTTCTCCTTTTGCCTTCCATTGTTCCCAGCATTAGGCCCTTCTCCAGGGAGTCCTTCCTTCTTATTAGGTGGCCAAAGTATTTGAATTTCATCTTCAGTATCTGGCCTTCTAAAGAGCAGTCAGGGTGATCTCCTCTAGGACTGACCGGTTTGATCGCCTTGCGGTCCAGGGGACTCTCAGGAGTCTCCTCCAGCACCACAATTCAAAGGCCTCAATCCTTTTGCGCTCAGCCTTCCTTATGGTCCAATTTTCACAGCCATACATTGCAACTGGGAAAACCATCGCCTTGACTATACGCACTTTTGTTGGCAGGGTGATGTCTCTGCTTTTTAGTATGCTGTCTAGATTTGCCATAGCTTTCCTCCCCAGGAGCAAGCGTCTTTTAATTTCTTGGCTGCAGTCCCCATCTGCGGTGATCTTGGAGCCCAGGAAAATAAAATCTGTCGCTACCTCCATTTCTTCCCCATCTATTTGCCAGGAAGTGAGAGGAATGGATGCCATGATCTTAGTTTTCTTAATGTTGAGTTTCAAGCCAACTTTTACACTCTCTTCCTTCACCTGCATCAAGAGGCTCTTTAGTTCCTCTTCACTTTCTGCCATGAGAGTGCTATCATCTGCATATCTGAGGTGGTTGATATTTCTCCCAGCAATCTTAATTCCAACTGGAGATTCATCTAGCCCCGCCTTTCTCATGATGTGCTCTGCATATAAGTTAAATAGGCAGGGCGACAGTATACAGCCTTGCCAAACTCCTTTCTCAATTTTGAACCAATCAGTGGTTCCATGTCCAGTTCTCACTGTTGCTTCTTGACCCGCATATAGGTTTTTCAAAAGACAAATAAGATGGTCTGGTACTCCCATCTCTTTAAGAACTTGCAACAATTTGTTGTGATCCACACAATCAAAGGCTTTAGCTTTAGCTCTCCCTCTTTGAAATCCTGTCTCTACTTCTGTTAGGTCTCAGTCCACGTACTGCTGGAGCCTAGCTTGTAGGATTTTGAGCATAACTTTGCTAGCATGTGAAATGAGTGCAATGGTGTGGTAGTTTGAACATTCTTTGGCATTGCCCTTCTTTGGAATCGGAATGTAAACTGACCTTTTCCAATCCTGTGGCCACTACTGAGTTTTCCAAATTCGTTGGCATATTGAGTGTAGCACTTTAACTGCATCGTCTTTTAGGATTTTGCATTGCTCAGCTGGAATACTGTCGCCTCCACTAGCTTTGTTGTTGCTCAGACTTCCTAAGGCCCTTTGACTTCACATTCCAGGACGTCTGGCTCGAGGTCAGTGACCACCCCATCGTGGTTATCAGGGATGTTCAGCTCCTTCTTGTATAGTTCTTCTGTGTAATCTTGCCACCTCTTCTTAATCTCTTCTGCCTCTGTTAGGTCCCTGCCATTTTGGTCCTTTATCATGCCCATCTTTGCATGAAATGTTCCCTTTTTATCTCCAATTTTCTTGAAGAGATCTTTGGTCCTCCCTATTCTATTGTTTTCTTCTATTTCTTTGCAGTGTTCATTGAAGAAGGCATTCTTATCTCTTCTAGCTATTCTCTGGAATTCTGCATTCAGTTGGGTGTATGTTTCCCTTTCTCCCTTGCCTTTCACTTCCCTTCTTTCCTCAGCTATTTGTAAAGCTTCCTCAGACAGCCATTTTGCTTTCTTGCATTTCTTTTTCTTTGGGATGGTTTTAGTTGCTGCCTCTTGTACAATGTTGCAAACCTCCGTCCATAGTTCTTCAGGCACTCTGTCTGTCAGATCTAATTCCTTTGTCTAATTTGTCACCTCTACTGTATATTCATCAGGGATATGATTTAGGTCATACCTGAGTGGCATAGTGCTTTTCCCTACATTCTTCAACTTAAGCCTAAATTTTGCAACCAGAAGCTCATGATCTGAACCACAGTCAGCTCCTGGTCTAGTTTTTACTGACAGCTTCTCCATCTTTGGCTGCAGAGCACATAGTCCATCTGATTTCTGTCTTGACTGTCTGGTGATGTCCATGTGTAGAGTCATCTCTTGGGTTGTTGGAAAAGCATGTTTGCTATGACCATCGTATTCTCTTGACAAAATTCTACCAGCCTGTGCCCTGCTTCATTTTGTACTCCAAGGCCAAACTTGCCTGTTATTCCGGTTATCTTTTGGCTTCCTACTTTAGCATTCCAATCCCCCATGATGATAAGGACATCTTTTTTTGGGTGTTAATTCTAGAAGGTGTAGTAGGCCTTCACAGAACTGGTCAACTTCTGCCTCTTCAGCACCAGTGGTTGGGGCATAGACTTGGACTACTGTGATGTTGAATGGTTTGCCTTGGATGCGAACTGAGATCATTCTGTCATTTTGGAGATTGTATCCCAGTACTGCTTTTCCTACTCTTTTATTGACTATGAAGGCTACTCCATTTCTTCTGAGGGATTCTTGCCCGCAGTAGTATACCTGATGGTCATCTGAATTAAATTCACCCATTTCTGTCCATTTTAGTTCACTGATTCCTAAGATGTCGATGTTCAATCTTGCCATCTCTTGTTTGACCACATCCAGCTTGCCTTGATTCATGGATGTTACATTCCAGGTTCCTATGGAGTATAGATCTTTGCAGCATCGGACTCTCCTTTCACCACCAGATACATCAGCAACTGAGTGTCCTTTCAGCTTTGACCCAGTCGCTTCATTCTTTCTGGCACTACTAGTACTAGCCCTCTGCTCTTCCCCAGTAGCATATTGGGCACCTTCCGACCTGAGGGACTCGTCTTCCGGCGTCATATCTTTTTGCCTTTTGGTACTGTCCATGGGGCTTTCATGGCAAAGATACTGGAGTGGGTTGCCATTTCCTTCTCCAGTGGATCACATTTTGTCAGAGCTCTGTGCTATGACCTGTCCGTCTTGGGCATAGCTTCATTGAGCTATGCCAGCCCCTTCGCCAGAACAAGGCAGTGATCCATGAAGGAGGTAACATTTCTAGATATGCTTAAATGAAAACCCATGTTCAGTGGGTTTGGGTGTGAATGCAAGAATTGTAATATATGCAAGATTTAATTTCTTTTCAAGTCTTAAGTTTACTCACTGTTAAACACATTTTGTATAACTTAGAATCTTAGAATCATAGAAGAGTAGAGTTGGAAGGGGCAGTGAAGACCATCAGGTCCAAGCCCCTGCTGTTGCAGGACACCAAGTTACACCATCCCACTCAGGTGGCTGCCCAGTTTTGCCTTGAATGTCTCTAGTGTGGGAAAGCCCACCACCTCTCTAGGCAGCTGATACTGACACACATTGCTCTGACACTGAGGAAACTTCTGCTGATATCTAGCCCAAATCCAGGTTGTTACAGCTTGAATTGATTATTCCTTGTCCCACACTCTGGTATCAGAGAGAAGAGATCTTGACCTTCCTTTTTGTGACAGCCTGTGAGGTCCTTACAGAGGGATCTCATGTCCCCCCTCAGTCTTCTTTTCTCAAGGCTGAACGTGCCCAGTTCTCTCAGTCTCTTCTCACAGGGCAGTGTTTCCAAACCCTGGATCACTTTTGTTGCCCTCCTCTGGATCCTTTCTAATTTTCCTGCATCTTTCTTAGATCTTGGTGCCCAGAACTGGACACAGGACTCCAGGTGAGGTCTGACTAGTGAGGAGTATACAATTGTGTTTTTGGTAGAGTTAATGAAATTCCAAAGTGGATCTACTCCTCCTCTTGCCCATTATTAGAGTGGACTTGCTCCTGGAGTGGTGCTTGGTTTTCTTACATTGTGCGTGTGTTGCCTCGGCCCCAGTGTCTCTGCCTGGCTCTGGCCACCTGCGCCCCGGGTCTTGGCGCTTGCCCTTGGGGAACTGAGCGTGTTCCTTGAAAGCCAGTTGGTGTCTTGAGGACTGACCTTGTGAATGGCAGCTGACTGCTGGATTGGGATCGAGTCGTTAGGTGACAGAGGTTGACCGTGCGTGTGTCATCGTGCCCTGAGCTGTGCAAATGGAGGCAGAACAAGAAATGCACCTGTCTGGGGCGGAGCCCTCCCTGCAGCCCTGCTGGGATCACTGTGAGCTTCGCTGGAAAGCTACCAGGAGGGGGCCGCCTTGTGCCAAGCACAGGGCTGGGATTGCTTGGAGCTGTGCCCTGCCCCACCTCGGAGCGAGCCTCGGCCCGCCCAGTCAGGTCACACCACGCTGGTGAGCAGGCTGCATCTCTTCCTGTCGCCGTTCAGCGCAGCTTTTCCCAGGTGCTTGGTACCTGTGGCAAAGAGGCCCCTTTGTTGGTCTCTGTTCCCATCCTCGCTGTGGGAAGGCCACACAAGGCTGACGTGGCTGCCTGTCCAGGCCATGGCCAAAGAGAGGCTTCTTCTACCTGGCATCTCCTGTTAGGTGGCTTGCAGGAAGGGGAGTGTTTTTTGCTCCCTGCCAGTTTCCTGGACTCTGTTCACCTCCTACCTGGATTTCTGCAGTTACTTTACCTGGGGCTGCCTTTGCAGATGGCTCATAAACTTCAGTTCAGAGCCAATGCCAGGTTACCAACCAGGCCTGGCTGGTATTACCATTCAATGCAAGCACCTGATTAGCTTATTCCCAGGCCATTTCCCAGCTCAGGTTCCCAAGTTCGGAGTGCGGGCATTGACCTTAAAAGCCTTAAATGATTTGAGACTGGAGAGACTGAAGGAACATCTTCTATATATACCTGCTCAGACCACTTGGTCATCCTTTGGGAGCCCCTCCAAAAGCTTGGTGGGTGGCACCCCGCTCATGGATTAAACTCTCCAGAGAAGTTTGCTTGACACCTGTGATGTTACCCTTTCCTCACCAGGCAAATGTCTATCTTTTCTCTAAGGAATTTTTGTGACTTTGTTCTAAATTTTTATGGCTGCTTCATCATCCCTGTGCAGTTGGTTGGTTGGTTGTTTTAAATTGCATTGTATCACTTTCTTTCAAACACGTGTGTTTTATATTTTAACCGTTGTTGTTTCTGTGACAACTCTGTGTTTTAGATCAGGCCCGAGTCTTTGTGAAAGTCTTCACAGAAATTGACCGGATGCCCCAGCTTCTGGCCTACTACTACAAATGCCACAAGGTATCCCCCCCCCCCCACTCCCCTGGAACAGCCTGGCTGCTCTCAGTGGCTGCTCAGCTCACAAGAAGGGCCTGGATACTGGATCCAGGCCAGCCCTGTTCGCGGCAGCCCCGAGCGGGCCTCCTTCGCCAGGGTGAAGCGAGGAGGAGGAGGGAGGCTCTTCTCAGGCCATTCCCTGCCTTTTGCTTGCTTGTTTTGCTAGCGCTTACGTGCCACTTAATGTAAGGAACCCTCTAAGCAGTGGCCAACCCCAAGTTGCCTGGGTAGCAGGTCACACACAGTGCCTTCCAGACAGTGCCCGCCAACGAATGTGCAGCCTGGTGGGACATCTTCCTGCGCAAGGCCCCCCGAGGTGGGCCTGTTCGGGAAAACTGCCTGCTGGGTGTGCCCCATGCGGCCCCTTCTGCCTGGATTAAGGAAGGCTTGGACTTCGCGGCAGAAGCACGTCAAGATGACGGCATGATTGTGCTGAGCTGCGCCGATCCAAACAGCAAGCTGGCGACAACTGTGTGTGCATGCGTGCATTTGTGATTGAAGTTATAATTCGCATTAACCAATAGTCCAGGAAGACTCTCTGGGCAGATTTACAAAACACAGGAAAACAAAACAAACAACGAGAATGACAACAATATGCGACAACATAACAAACAACCCCATCACAAACACAAACCGCAACAGTCCAGAATAAAGATACAATATAATATACAATGTACAGCTGAGAATTTAAACAGTAAGAGTCAAAATCTAAAACACCAACATTAAATTCAATAAAAATGAATAAATCATGCACAATTAAAATCAGTCCGTGCGTGGCAACTATGCAATTCTGTCCTCCAGTTGCTGGTCTGGCACTGAAACAGTGCAAAACAAGCAGCTTTAGAAATGTTTCCTCTTCTCACGCCTCCCCAGCGTTTTTTGTGTGAGCCTTCAAAGAGCCGCCACTGCCTCTTCCTGTCGCAGCACTTCGTGATTGTAACGCAGGTGCCTTTTTGTCCACTTTGCAAAGTCCGAGATCATCTTGGCATGATAAGGGATGCCTCCTGGGCAGCAGGTGCTTTCTGTGCAATCCCCTCCCCTCCCCTCCCCTGCCCTCCTTTCCTTTCCCCTTGTTTTCTCCTGGGGACAGTCCAACCAAGGCGAAGCCCTGCTTAGGAACCTGAGCCGCTGTGCCGGGGTGGTGTTGGTTTCATACACGGTTATGAGCAGCATACCAACTTTAATTAAATCGATGGGGAAGCCAGGGAGCTGCCTCTTGCTCTTTGGAGGTGGAGCAAAGATGGGGCCTCGCTCGGTGGTGCTTTCTCTGCTGGCTCAAGGGATTCTTGGGGACGCGTGTGGTGCGCCAGCAGATGTTGGGGTGGGGTGCTATGCAGTCACAGGGCTTCCCGAGTCAAGCGATGATCCCTGGAGCAGTGGCTGTTCTATTTTTCAAGTGGCTTCTAAGGCCCGCAGGCACATCAGTCAGTCCATCTCTCCTCCTAACAGCCTCGTGAAGCAGATTTGGTCTCAGGCTGCCTGGTCAAATGAACAGCGCTTTGATGGCTGACCTCCCTCCGCCTCTCAGATGTTATTTCACACGGTCCACGGCTGAATTTTTTGTGGCAGGATTCCACACTCTGATAGATGTGGTCTTGCGGGGGGAAAGGTGTCCCATGGTCGGTCCGCTCCTCTTGGGGTGGAGGCCATTGGGTGATGAAGCAAGCTGCCTGGCTCTGTTTGCGCAAGAGCTCGCCCTCGCTTTCTCTGTTAATCTGGATGGACGAAGGTGGACCTCGTGAGGGAGGAGGCCACCTGCCTTGCGGGCCGTGTCCTGCCTCGTGGACCAGAGGTGGCCTGCCTGCAGGCACCGCTGCTGAGGAGCTGGGTGGGAGGAGGCCTGGCACCCCTCTGGTGTCCAGCCGGGTTGCCGCCGTGTGTGCGTAGTGCAGGGCGGGATGGACTTTGGGCTGACCCACCATGGCTTTATGGCGTCCTTTTGCTTCTGCACGGAGGGAGAGCCAGAAATGCCTTGAGTGAGCCTGATCCCGGCCATCTTTCTCTCTCGTAGGTGCAGCTCATGGCCACATGGCAGGACCTGTGCCAGTCTGACTTGCCTCTGGATCGGCAGCTGACGGAGCTCTATGACGTGCTGCTGGAGACCTGGCACTCGCAGCTCCAGTGGGCCTCTCAGGTATGTCCGTGGCTGGCAGGCAAGGGAACTGCCGTGGGCACGGGAAGCTCCAGCTCGGATCATCAGGAGAGGCGGAGGCCTGGCAGTAACTCTGGTGGCCACTGCTGCCCCAGAGCTGCTCTTCTGCCAACTCTTGGGCGTGTGGTGCAGTTGCCACACTTTGGGTGACTGCCTTTTCGCCTCTGGCCTGCGCTGCTCTGATGCATCCCCCTTTCCGGGGTTTTCCTAACCAACTTGCGCAACTTTACTGTTTTTTAGCTCCAAGAGAACTTTCCTTGCAAAACAAGTAGCTGTCTCCCTACAGCAGCCTTCCGCAACCTTGTGCCCTCCAGACACATTTGGACTGCAACGACCAGAATTCCCCATCAGTGGCCCTGTTGGATGGAAATTCTGGGAGTTGTGGTCTAGATGCCTCTGAAGACCACCAGGTTGGGAAGACTGCCTTGCATAATAAGCACTTGAAAATATATTGGTTTTTGCAAGCTGCAAGGTTCATGCATGAGCTGCCAAAACTGGCCATTGAGGTGCATCTGTGCTCACTTTGTGCAAGCGTGCTTTTTGGCATACGAACAGTGAGCGTCAGCTGCTGGGTGGTAGTGAGAATGAACAAATGAATACGTGGAATTTGATGGCCCTTTCTTGGATACCTTTTTTTAAAAGCAAGTTGCTGACTCTGATGGCCACAGAGATTTAGACGGCAACAGATGCCGGGCTTGCAGGAGATTCTGAAGCAGGAAAGGCCTTAATAAGGTGGCTGTCTGTTTTGGATCACTCCATAGTTCTCCCTCTGTCCAGGAAAAGTGGAATAACATACAGAGTAGTTTTACACCGGGGTTTGTACAGCCTTTCTGCCCCTACCTACACATTCACACGTGTCTCCTAGTGATCCCGGTATGCATTGCTCTTCTCTTGCTGCTAGAAAGTGACTTGGATCAGTGTCTCAGAGTGGGTGGAAAGGGCAGTGGGTGGGGAGATTGGGGGGAGCATCAAAGTAAAGGCCAGTGGGGTCTGTGCAGCCCGCAGGTAGCTAAACTGCCACCACGGGATGCGGTGATTTGGACAGCTTTAAAAGCTGATTGGAAAGATTCGTGGAGGAGGAGCAGTGGCAGCGGCTTGCACAGCTCTTCATATGCCCTGATCTCATGCATCCTGTATTAAACAAGAAAACAGCTGCCTGTCGCTCCGCAAAGCTGCATTTACAGTTGGGGTGGCATCTGATTGCAGGTGACACTGGGAAGCCTGCCCTTAGGAAGCACCAGTGCGTGGACGTGTCCAGCTGCAAACTGACCAAGATTCTCCCAGCCCAGGAGGGGCAATTCACTGCAGGTGCCTTGCAGGGGAGGCCTCCTGCAGCCGCCACAGATAAACATCGGCTTTCCCCTTCACGGGTGAGAGGCCCCATCAGCCTAATCTGATGGAGTTGGTGGTTGCCCATGAAAACTCCAGCCGCAATAAACCAGTTTTGCCCAAAATGCCACGAGGGTGCTTTTTATCTCTTTGCTGCTACAGAACAGGAGATCAGCTAAGGCGGCGCTGCTTGGGGGGATGCTGCTTGCCTGCTGGCCCATTCGCACGAGCCTTCTGTATGTGCTCTTATTCTCCACAAACAGCCCATTCTGCAAAGAGCTTCTGCGAGGCTCCTCAGAGCTTCCCTCTGCTCTGCTTTTTGATATAGGAAGAGGCTTTCTCCTGTCCGTGGTGGATGGGGGGAAAGCAGAATGCACCTGGATGCATTCAAGGGAGGAAGCGGGCCAGGAACATGCCTGCGCAAGGGATGAAAGCAGCACTGATCTGATGGATACCACCCAGCAGCAATACCTGGGTCGCCCCCCCCCCGCCCAGGAACTGCTGCAGGTGAGTGCTGCCACACGAGCTGCTTCCTGTTTTAATCAATTTTCCTGTCATGTCCAAACCCAGGAGCACTGGGGCCTTTGGGGCAAAACAATTAGGAGCTAATCTTCCCTGATAATCCATAAATGGATACCAACCATCTTTTCCAACCTGGTGCCTTTCAGGTGTGGTGGGACTGAAGTTCTCTCTAGCCCCCTCCTGTGTGGCCCCCTGACCATGTTGACTGGGGGAGGGTGCAGTTGCAGTCTGACACCTCCAGGCAGAAGCAGGTTGGTGCTCGTTGGCTCGCAGGCTCCTGCAGCGTGACCTGGGCTTGCTGTTAACGGATTTTGGTCAGGCTGTGGGGCCCCCATGAGAGGCAGAAGCCCGAGGGGCCCCACCTGGAAGGAGAGGCAGACAAAAACCTCCCCTCTGCTGCCACACACAATGCAGTCTGTCTGCCAGGATGACCCCCACACAGTGGGAACGTTATAATTATGGAAAACTGACTCGGAGCAAGAAGGTCAGAGGAAGAGGATTATTTTTAAAAAATCAGACTACTTGAGCGTTAGGGCAAAACAAAATGAATTCTATGAGATGGACTTGTTCTGTGTTTCCTTTCAAGGTTTATAATAAAGGAAATGTTCCTTTTAAAGTAGGAAAGCAAATACAATTTGGGCAACTTTTCCATACCTCATTTCCTACAATGCTGGGAGCCAGCATATTTTTCCATTAGTAAAACTTGGGTTCTTGCCATTCTTCCTCAAAGTTCATTCTGGAATATTTGAACTCTCAGGATTTTTGAGGCCTTGATTCCCAGTTGCAGTTGAACATCCAAGTGTTTCTGAATCTACTTGGAGCAATGCAGGAACTGGGAATGTTGCTCTGTTCCACACCTCACGGGGATGCCGTTGGCCAGGCTGCACACAAATGCCAAAATGCATCTTAATTCGGGCGAGAATTCTGCCATCCCTCCTTGCCCACAAGCCTCAAGTATTTTGGCATCTCAAGAATTTTGGCTCATGTGCTCACAGCCTCTACCTGCTGCCAATAGGATATGGCCCAGAGGTTACAGGTTCCACAGAGGGGCATACAACTTCTGGCCTTTCAGCTGTCTCCAGACCGGAATACTCAGGGTGGTCTTGAAAGGGAAGAGGGAATACAGGAGGCCTCTGACCGAGGAAGGGTTATACTGCAGTTTCTCAGTGCCCCAAACATCCGCCCTGGAACTCCTGGTCATGGAACCAACCAAAGTGGAGGCGGCCCCAGATTTCATCTGAAGTGGTTTCTCCCAGGGCCTCATACAAGGCAAAGGTTGTTGAAACAGCGACTTCATCGGGTTCAACATACACTTAAGTTGAATTCCCACACAGTCCCATGTGGCTTCAAAAGAGGAGCCTTTTCTGAAATGAGGGGACCCGTAAAAGGGAAGTTGGAAGAGGGAGTCAGGAGAGTTAACACCAGCCCCCCACGTTTTCTCCCTCCACAGGTTTTCAAGAACCCCCACCAGGTGGTGGTCGTGCTGCTGATCCAAGTGCTCGGTGCGCTGGTGCCCCCGATCCCCGTCTGCCTCAGCACCGCCATGGAGCAGGTCAGCCCCGAGGACAAGCTCAGCCAGCTGCTGGGGCTGTTCGACGCCACCGTCTTCTTTGCACGCGGCCTGGAAGTTGCGACACGGCCCGGCTTGCGTGAGTGTCCGCTGGGAGAGGTTCTGGGAGAGTGCCGCAGCAAATCCCTGAGGGCATGGGTTTGTTCTTGCTCTGTCTGTACACGGGGTTTTTACAGGAATATCATTTGTTAGCACTGCATAGGTGGTATTTACTGGTTATGTAACATTTATGCCAAATTTTGTTTAACTTGCTGAGGGCATTATTGACACAATTCTTACAGTGTTTGATGAAGCTGAACATTTTGGATTCTGCCCTGAGTCAACACTGCGTGGCACCTTTGCCAAGCAAGCCCGGCCTCTCCGTTCCCACCCCTTCTGCAGGGGGAGAGGTGCAGCAGCTGGGCTGTCTCTGAGATTTCTTCCGTGGCTTCGGCTTCCTTCCGCACGCTCTGGTCTCTCAGGCAGCAGCTGCCCTTTCCTTGGCTGCGAGGTGCCAGGAATGAGGGATGTTAAAAACACTGAGCCAGAGGAGCCCAGGGCTGGAGTGCTGGGCACCAGTTCACACATGCACACACACACTCAAGTCCAGTTGTGTTCTATGCCAAAGTGTGGCGTGCTTGTGCCATGTCTCAAAACCATTTCAGGAGAAGCTGGAAACGGGTCGTCTCGGGGCTTGCTGGGACTCTCTAGGGCAGAGGGGTTGATAAAAAGCAGACGGGAGTTTGGGGAAGGGTCTCCGAAGAACTGGAGCATGGACAGAGGGGCTCCGCGCGGCCCTGCTGGAGGAAGAGGGCAGTGGCTGCCGTGCCGCTTCTCCCAGGGTGTGGCTTCGAGCTGGGAGCCGCAGTCGCTGCTCCTGGCCCGGGTCAGGAGATGTAGATGTTCCCGGGCGGGGGCTGGGGGGCATGTGGGAGAACGCGGCAGTCCTGGCAGCCGGGCTGCTGCAGCCCTGTGTTCTTGTACTTCCAGGGGAATGCAGCACCGTGAAGGTGGCAGAGCTGGTGGAAGCGGTTTACGGCCCCTACAAGCCCTTCCAGCTGCAGTACGGAGCCCTGGAGGAAGAGAACCTGCTCATTCAGATGAGCGCCGTCCCTTTGGTGAGCCCTCCTCCCCTCCGTGGACCCCTTGGCTGTTGCTTGCTTGCTTGCTTTTATGTTTAACCCTCTTCTGGAACTTCCAAAGTGATGAAAGCAGGTTGTATCAAAACTCTGCGAGTTTAAGTGTTACGATTGCCTAGCAAAGGTCTGTTCTGGGATCCTTTGCCTTCAAAGATGAAATTAGCAGTTCCTGCTCAGAGGCCACCTCTGCGGAGCCTTGCGGTTGTTCTGCCCTGTTGCTTGATGAAGAGTTCTTGAGAACTTTGCACACTTTTGTGGCATTTTGGTCGGTCCTTGCCAATGTATTACTGAACCACAGATTTGGGTTCTTTTCCTCATGGACCAGCTGCCTTATGGAAGCGTGTGTGTCAAATTTAAGCTGCTCTTGCATTTTGCTTTTTTTTCTAGTTTGCTTTGTCTGATGTTTTTAATATTTTTGTTTATCTTGATTCTCTCACACAGACATAATCGTAAGCTTTCTTAGAGACTAGGCAGTTCAAAGGCAGGACAGGGCTTGTTTTCAGTCAGTCAGACAAGCCACCAAAAGTCCAATACCCTCCTAAGCCCACAACGTAACATGCGAGCCAAGCCAAAAGGCCTCCCAAGGCTTCTGGAGTCAGAGGCACCTGCCTGGAGGAGCTTTGCCTTGCAGGCCATTTTCACAGGGGCTGTCTGTGCTCACTTGCTTTGGAAGGCTGGCCCTTCGGGGAACTCGGTCCGGTCCTCTCTTCTGAGGTGTGCTGGGCTCACCGTGGACCGTTCGCAACAGCCAGGAAGTGCTCAAGAGACTCTTGGCAGGCTCCATGGAGGGGGAGTGCTGGCATGGGTGGTGCCAGGCCCCCCCCCCCCCCCGTGGCCGCTAGGGCCAGAGCTGCCCGGGCGCGTGGGGGAACACGGACCCTGACATTGTGTGATTGCGCAGGAGCACGGGGAGGTGATTGACTGCGTCCAGGAGCTCAGCCACTCGGTGAACAAGCTCTTCGGCCTTGCCCTGGCGGCTGTGGACAACTGCCTGCGGCTGACTGACGGGCTGGGTGTAGGCGGACTCCTCAGGGCCTTGCGAGCCCTTTTCAGCAAGTAAGTGCTTGGCCACTGGCTGGCAAGTCAGCCCTGGCTCTTGTGCCGGTGGGGGGGGGGTGCTCAGGGTGGCCTCGTAATCCGCCTGGTTTGGGGTGATTCTCTGCACGCACCACGCCTCCCTTCCCACAAGGGTAGCCATGGGCAAAGAAAGTGGCTTTCCAAGAAGCACCAAGGGTGGAGGCTGCTGAGCTTCCCTTCCCCCCGGCAAGGATTAATAGTGCCTCCTAAGCTGTAGATGCACATCTGTTCAGTCTGGGTAATATATGCAAGCCTCTGAGCTTGCCTTTCTGTGTTCCAAAGTTTCAGTGCTCTTTTGGCCCAGGAAGAGCGCAGGGGGCTTTAGGGGGCCAGAGGGGCTTCCCGGGGGCACATCCTTGCCTCTTTCCGCAGGTACGCTGCTGACTTCAGCAGCGCCATACAGGCCATCAGGAAGAAGTGCAGGCTGGATGACGTCACTTCCGAGGTGCTCTTCCAAGAGGACTGGACCGCATTCCAGACTGCAGTCCGGTAAGGAAGGCTCTTGTGTGGGAAGGGTGGACGGCTCCCCTGCGGAGGGCAGCACCTGCCAGGCCATCTGGGCGGCCACGTTGCTCCTCGCGCCGCACTTGAGTCGCTTCACGTGAGCCGGGAGCAGGTGTTTGGAGGGAGACCTCTTCGCCACCCCTCTGTGCCGCGGGAGCCTGTTCTCAGCCTGCCTTGTCTCTCCGCTTAATTGGAGCAATCCAGGCTGTCGTGAAGGGGCCCGCGAGCAGGGGGCCAGTGCAGAAGGCATTGAGGTGCAAGTCGCTGCTACTGGGAAGGCAAAGAACCGCTGAGTCTTCCTGGGCTCCATTACAGCGCTGGGCAGTCCTTCCGGGAAGCCAGTCCAGCGGGTCATTCCAGGGGAAACGGGGCAGGCTGGCATGGTGCCCCACCTCCCCCCACGCCCACTGCAGAAAGGCAGCTTGGCGGCAGTGGCCCCCAGCCCAGCCCCAGTCCCTTGCTGGCGCTCACCGGTCCTTTCCCCCCCAGAATCATCGCCACCTGCGGGGAGCTCCTGCGCCAGTGTGGAGATTTCGAGCAGCAGCTGGCAAACAGGTGGGACGCGCGGGGCCGGCAGGGAGGATCCGGGAGCGGCATGGCTCATCCGCGGGCTTGCTGTGCCACTGCACAGGGGCTGCGCGCTGGGCCTGGGCCTGGGCCTGGGCCTGGGCCTGGGCCTGGGCCTCGCCAGGAGGCAGCTCTGCCCCAGCCAGGCCCGGCCCCATCGAGACAGCCTCAGGCCAGGGCCCTGCTCACTCAGGTGCCAGCCACGCTGCCGCCTCGCCCTCTGCAGGATCCTCTCGACCGCGGGAAGGCACCTGTCGGACTCGTACAGCCCCTGCAGCCTGAGCGGCCTCCAGGAGCCCAGCCTGGAGAAGCAGAGTCCTGCCAAGAACCCTTGGCAGGAGTACAACTACCTGCAGCGGGAGAGCCCCGCCGAGTACACCGCCCTGCTGGAGACGCTCTACAACCTCAAGGTGGGGCACCTGCCGGCTTGGTGGATGTGGCTCCTCCTGGCACTCTGCATCAGCTGCAGGGGGGACCACGTGGCAGGTGGACCCCCCCCCCAGCAGCCCTTCCAGCAGAGGGGGCTGCAGCTTTGGCGGGTTTCCTCTCCTGAACTGCACGCGCCTTCCCTCGGCCTGCCCCCTTGCTTGTTTCCCCAGGGCGCATTCGCACTCGGATGCCCTCCCGAGGCTGCGGGCCCCACCGCAGGCCAGGGCCGTTTTGCCACGGTGCCGGGGCAGTGGTTGGGCTCCTGCGGACCTGCTGCTCTCGGCAGCCTCTGTGCTCCGGGCGAGGCTGGCGTGCGGGCCCCGCACAGCACTGCTCCTGCTCGGCTCGCATGCGCCCTGCCTGGGACAAGGCGTGAGCTGAGCTGTGAACTGCGGGGCCGGGGTGGGACCACAGGCGGACGGACAGACGGACGGACGGACACGCGGGGAGGTGGCCTCAGGAGAGCACCTGCCGCTCGCTTGCGCCCCCGGGTGGCTCTTGCACGAGGCCTTTCTGAGAGGGCTTGTTGGCCCCAGCGTGGGCGCTGGGCCCTGCTGCGCTTCGCACTGAGGCTGTTGAGCCAGCTTGGATGTGCAGCTGTTCCAGGAAATCAGGTAGCCCAGCATGGCTGCAAGACCTGTGCCTTGGTGGCGAGCTGGAAGCCTAACCCTTATTTTATTCGTGGTGTTTATATTGGCTGCCTGAGCACATATTTATCTGGCCAGCCCACAAAGATGCACAGATAGAATGCAGCATTACAAATGTCACAAATGGAATCGCTGCACGGAATGTTCCAGCAACATGGGGCCTAGAAGCAGACACACAATGTGCAGGTGGTGAGATAAAAACACCATAGATAAGGCGGTGAAGGGAGGCCGCGGAAGACTGGGCGCCACAGGGTCGAAGTGCTTCGCCTGACGACAGTGTGTGCGGCCTGCTTTGAAAGTGGGCGCCCACAAGCGCTGCTGCCCACGCTGGCTGTGGAGGCGTGCGGTGGCACGCTGCAGTTTCAAGAATCAGTGTGAGGAGGCCGAATCCAGCCAGGGCCTGGGCCAGATTCCGGCTGCCGGCTCCAGACGCCTGCTTTCTCCTTTTCGCAGGAGAAGGGGACCAGCCACAACCTGCTCTTGTCCTCTCGATCAGCCCTGGTGCGCCTCAACCAGCTGGCCCATGAGCTGGCCTTCGACTCCGTCTTCCTTCGCATCAAGCAGCAGCTCTTGCTCGTGGCCAAGATGGAGGTGAGCATCCTGCCGGGGATGCTGGAGGGCCGGGGCGGCAGGGCTCCCTGGGAGGGCCTGTGGTTTTGTGAGTCTGGGGGAGGCCCGCTTTGGCCCTGTGGGCTGAGCCTCCGCTTCATGTCGCCCAGGGCTGGAGCACCAGCAGCAGCGGCGAGATGCTCATGGAAGACCTGCCCACCTTCAGCCTCACGCCCTTGGAGTACATCAGCAACGTGAGAGAGCACATGGGCCGAGGGGCGGGTCCCGGGGCTGCCCTGGCAGCATCTCCAGCCAGCCAGTTTCGGGGGCGCTGGGAAGGAGCGGGAAGGCCAGACATGCAGCTTGGGCACGAGGCTGAAGCGTGTGGAAATCCTCCGCACAGCTGGAGCTGCATGACCCAGGGAGGCGGAGGCCTCCCCAAGCAAGAGGCTTTCCGGGGGCTGCTGGGCGGTCCCCGGGGGCCGCTTGCCGGGGAGTCTTGCACTGGGCGGGGCTGGGACCCTCTGGCCCCCCCTCGGCTGCCGATTCCGTGCTCGTCCCACTGCTGCTCATCTCTCCACCCAGATTGGCCAGTACATCATGTCTCTTCCCCTCCATCTGGAACCCTTCGTGACCCAGGAGGACTCGGCGCTGGAGCTGGCGCTGCATGCGGGGAAGCTCCCCTTTCCTCCGGAGCAAGGTGGGGAGCGCCCAGTGGGGGCGGCACCGGCTCTCTTCCTCAGCGGCCCGCCAGGTGGCTTCCCTTGGCGCCTCTGGGGAGGCCTGCCCGCCTCATCCAACACACGACTCGATCGGTATCCCTCTCACAATGTGGGTGACCTTTTGGGCGCACCAGCCCAGTCCCAGCTCCCGGAAGCATCAGGGAATGACCCTCATGGCTGCTGCTCGAGGGGGGGGGCAGTGCCCCGCCCTGCCTCGTTTCTTACATTATGTTTTACATTTAAATTTAGTTACTTTATATTTACATAGAAATTTCTTAGGGTTTCCTCCTAGTATTTAGCGGTATAGAAATACTGCAGATAAAACTATGGTGGCAGAGGAGGGCAGCACGAATGATCCAGGCCTTGGAACCACTGCCCGGTGAGGAAAGACAGGGAGAATTGGGCATGTTCAGCCTTGAGAAAAGAAGATGGGGGGGGCAGTGGTACGGAGGACAGGATATCTCTCTATAAGTACCTTAAGGGCTGTCACAAGGAGGAAGAGTTGGATCTCTTCTTGCTGAGTGTAGGACACGGAATATTCTAGTCAAGTTGCAGCAACCCAGATTCAGGCTGAAAATCAGGAAACGCTTCCTCATTGTCAGAGCAATACAACCGTGGAACCAGCTGCCTGGAGAGGTGGGGGGCTCTCCCACACTGGAGACGTTCAGAAAGAAACTGGACAGCCCTCTGGGTGGGGTGATTTGACTTGGTGTCCTGCAACAGCGGGGTGGGGGGTGGACTCGATGGCCTTCATGGCCCCTTCCCACTTCACTCTTCTCTGGTTTTTATGAAACAGGCAGGAGGTGCTCCGGGGCCTGTGGAAGCCATTGCAGTCGCTGCTCGGACGCTGGAGGCCTGGCTGAGCCCGCCTGAGTGCCCAGCACTGCCTGCCTCCCCCTGCCCTGCTGCTGCTCCGTCACGGCTTCTGCGGAGCGGGAACTTTGCCCTTCCGCTGGGCCCTTGCCGCAGCCCCATCCCGCACCCAGTTTGGTCACCGTGTGAGACTGAGGGAGGGCGCAGGAGGCAAGAGGCGCTGCAGCTCGCTCGCTTAGTCGGTCGCTGCTCCTTCTAATGGACGGAGCTCGGTCCTGGGCCCTCCATGAAAGAGGGAGGTTCCGGTTGATCAGAGGGGTACTGACCTCACTGCCCAGGCGGGGACCTGCCCCGAAGCGCATGCTGGAGAGGGACGTGGCTGTGCCCCTCCTCCCCAGGCGGGAGCCCTGGGCCACTCATGCACGCGCCGCCTCTGCTCCCTCCCAGGTGAGGAGCCCCCCGAACTGGACAACATGGCGGACTACTGGCTGGGCTCCCTGGCCAGGGCCACCATGCAGACGTACTGCGAGGCCATCCTCCAGATCCCGGAGCTCACCCCGCACTCCGCCAAGCAGCTGGCCACGGACATCGGTGAGGCCGGTGTGGGGGATGCGTGGACCCCCTGCCGCTGCGCCTGCCCTCATGTGCCTCCAGGGCCCCACTGGGGTCGCGCGAGGGGTGGCTGAGCCCTGGGCGCGCCGCCATGTGCTTGGCTGGGGGAAGGCACGCCGGGCTTGCACGCCCCCAGAGCGCCCCTGCAGCATCTCGCCTGCCACGGGCGCGTGGAAGGAGGGCTTGTTCAGGGTGGCTCTTCTCCCACAGATTACCTGGTCAACGTCATGGACGCGCTGGGCCTCCAGCCCTCCAAGGCCCTGCAGAGCACCGTCGCCCTGCTGAAGGCCACGCCCGAGGAGTTCAAGCAGGTGGCCAAGTCCTTTCCGCGGCGCTTGGCTAGCAGCATCGCCGCCATGAGGAGCCTGGAATACTGAATTCCGAACAATCGTGCTGAAAAGTCGGTGGCCTCTTGCCGTGGTCTGACGGGAGTGGGCCCGCCCGGGGCATCTGGCAATCTCCTGCAGAACTGCCCTGCTCCTCCTGAGGGGGGAGGAGCGGCTCCCTGGAACACAGCAGAGATGTGGAGGAGGGCTCCCCTGTAACGGGGAGAAAGCCGAGTGCGTGGTGCTCGTGGGCGGCCTTTAAGCAAATCAAACGCAATAGAATAAAATACACCAACTCAAAGCCTGTCTCGAAGGGGCCACTGTCAGGCCGGGGGTGCTTAGCCTGGGCTAGGGGCCAGAGGCCAAGCTGCCCATGTCTGGGGGCTGGCGAGCCGGCAGCAAGCCCAGGACATGTGGGCCCGTACGAGGCATGGATCACACTGCCGCCACCCACGAGACGGTTCCTCGGCGAGGCTGCCCGCGGGCAAGCGCGAGTTGTGTGCATCCTGGCCCACGCCACGTCGTATCCTGCCGGCCTGGCAGAACAGCTGGGAGGCAGCCCTGTGGCTGAGCGGGTGATTCAGCCGTGCCCCTCACTGTTGGGGCCAGCCCCCGCCCGAGGTCCAGCCTGGCCTCCAGCCAGGCACTGCTCCCCTTCGCCTGCCCTGGCCGGCCAGCCGGCTCAGCCGGCTCAACTGCCCAGGCTGGGTCAGGCTCACCAGGTGCTCTGGAGCAAGGCGTTGCCCGGGAGGTGTGTGAGGGCCGCCTCGAGTGCTCCCGGCCCTGTTCGCCACTTGTGTGCGCAGGCGGGGTGGAGCAGTGCGCACCTCCTGAGGCCCATGTCCTGCCCCGCTGGGGGGTGCAGGTGAGGTGGAAGGAAGGACACCAAGCCTCTTCCTCGCCACCTCCCGGCTCACGTGAGCTTGGCACACCTGCCCTCGCGAGTCTGGCGCAGGAGCAGCCCGGCCTTGTCCTTTCGGGGCACGCCGGTGCTCTGACTGATGGGCTGTGCTGGAGCCGCTGGTGTGGGCCCGGCCCGGCCCGGCCCGGCCCGGCCCGGCCATGGGGGCGAGGTCCACCTGCCTCGACGGCAGGACCAGCCCCTTTCAGGGCTGGGCAGGCAGGCTGCGCTGACTGGATCCCACTGCACAGGACAGGCTCTGGAGCCGGGCTGGCCGCCTCTTGCTGCCTCTGGGCTGCGCTGCCGCTCCTCGCTCGCTGCTTGGCACCTGGCCCGCCTGGGGCAGGGCGCTGGCAGTGGCAGAGCTGTCCCTGTGATGCTGCACCTGCACTCTGGCACAGGCCTGGGGCTGCCCGGAGATCGGAGGGCCAGGCCTCTTTCGACAGCTCGGGCAGCTTCCTCACCTTCCATAGCAGGAACAGGGAGCCCAGTGCCCTGAAAGTGAACAGACCCTGCCATCCTGGCGCACCGAAGCCAGAACGGCCGCCAGCTCCTGGCCTCACCCTGCGGCCTGACTGCTGGGCTGCCGAGCCGCTCTGCAGTGCTGCCGCCGGTGCCCTGCCGCTCCCTCCCTCGCCTCTGCAGTCCCCGAAGCGCAGGCTCGCCCGAGGCAGTGCCGCTTGCAGTCCTGTGCCCACAGAGGTCGCCGTGCTGGGCGCCTGGGGCCAGGCGCAGGTCTTGCAAGGCTGGCACTGCTGGTTTGCACGGCCAATACCAAGGTGTCCCCTGCCATGGGAAGCGGGCAGCCCCTGGCCCTGCAGGGGCTGCTGAGCATGGCAGGTGCGTCTCCTGGCCCAGCCGAGTCTTACTGGGTGCCACTCCCTGACTCGTCTGAGGGGCTTGCAGGGAATCCAGCAGCCGGGAGTCAGGATGCCAGGAAGCACTGCCTGACGGTTAGGACCCCATGGTATGGAATGGGCTTCCACAGGAGGAGGTTGCAGCGCCGCTGGTGAGGGTGTTCAAGGAAAGATTGGACAACCAAACGTTGGCGACTACATGAATAGAGCCAGCTGGAGCTGGGGGTCAGACTAGATGGCCCGGGAAGCCCCTTCTGACTCACTCTGTTTCTGAGTCGTGTCCTGTGCAGACCTCCTTGTGGGCAGTTTGCTGCGAGTGGGAGAGCGATGGGTCAGCGCACGCTCTCTGCCCTCGCTGCAGGAGTTTGGGCGTCGAAGCCACCCTGGGCCCACGCGATGCCGTGGCAGCACGCTTCCCGCCAGGCCGAGCGTGCTCTGCTGAGCAAGCCCCTGCACTGCGGACCTTGCACTGCCGCCAAGGTTGCCCGGCCTGGATGCCGGTTCCCCGCCTGGCACGACTATCCTGCACCTCATGCTGCACCTTTTCAAGTTTTTGCACAAGAACTAGGAACTTAGTCTTTTTATTACGTGATGCAGTCTTAAGAAATCCAGTCTTTCTGTAGCAAAAGTCTAAAATGGGTACTTATGTGCTGTATTTGTAGTTTGTAAAATGGCCGCTTGGTTGCGTGAAGGAAGAAGCAAAGAGCAAGAGGGAGTCAAAAGGAGTTTCAGGTACCCATGGAAGACCTTTTATTGTTGCCCAACACACTCTGGAATATTGCACAAGGAAACAGGTGACAGGTTGCTTCATTGGCCGCCGCCCCTCCTCCTCCTCCTCGTGGGTCGTGGGCTCACGTGCAGCCGCTTGCAAGGGAGCTGGTGCAGGCAGGCGCTGCCATCAAGCCGGAGGCGCACACCCTCTTATGAGGCGCTTGCTCCCGCTCCCAGGAACAGAGGCGGCTGGCCTGCTTTCGGAGCCAGAGGTGCCAGACAGCTGTGCTGCTGTTAGGTGGCCTCAGGGCAGGGCCCTTCCCTTCCTGCGCGCTGCCCACGCATGCCCGACCAGCCCAGGCGAAACCCACCGGTGAGACGTGAAGGAATTCCCTCCTGGATCTTTCCCCAGGCCCTTGATCATTTTGACAATTTCAAAAGGGCCACTGTGTTAAGCCTGCTGTGGTGAAAACGGCCATTATTGAGGTAGGTAAAGAGCAACAAATTTATTATCCATTTAAGTTTATGCTACAATAAATTTGTTCCTTTCGGAGGTGTCACAAGGCTCTTCTTTTGCTCATTCTAGTTGCCCCTTTGATCTGCATGATCCTTTCAGAGTTCTTCCCATTAGATCACGGCGAATAATAGAGTGGATCCGTTTCATTTTTACACTGGCCTGGGTTACTGTGCTGCTCAGCGGTCCTGTCACACAGCCTCTGGCCGACCAGAGCAAGCCTGGAAAGAGGAGGGCTACAGCTACTGTCAGCCAACTTCCTGGCCAATACGTGTGTACCAATACGACCCCCGCCCCCGCCAAAGCAAGCCCCTTAGCTTTGTTCCCCATTGGGTGATAGGCCCTTGTGTTGTTGCACTTCCCAAAGGGACAGATTTAAGTATGAAAATAGTGCATCAGATTTGCCTGTGCAAAGCAGGGGAGGTTTCTGCAGGCCAAACTAGTCCCGTGAAGGTCTTTGTCCGTGCTGGCAGGGAAAGCGGCAACATGATTCCCAAATCAAGCTGGCTTCATCCCAGGAAATGTGCTTTGAAATGGTGCAGCTGGCCCAGCTTCTTCACCGGCGCCCAGATGGGTTCTTGGCCTAGCACGCATCCACCACATTGCCGGTGCAATAATGCAGCCCTGAAGCAAGAGCCGGTTCCAAGAAGCAGGGACCGCTCGGGTTTCATCCCTTTTGTGGTTCGCCTCGTGGCCTTCGACACCGCTGGGAGGGTCTGAGAGGAGGTGTGGAGCGTGATGGCGGAACAGTTAACGAAATGAGCCCAGGCTGGCGGGGCGAGGCCTCGCAGCAAGCGAGGACCCAGTCGCCCGGGAGCTTGGCTGCTCTTACTTTGCTGCGCCAACAGGTTCTTCCTCCATGAAGGACTGGGGCCGTCGCAGCCAAAGGGTGCAGGCAGTCTCCTCCGAAGACGCTTGGAGACCACGTCCCCTGGTGGGGGAGGGGAGGTGGCCCGGCCCTCCCTCAAAAGGGCACGTCAAGCGCATGTATGTCCTAGCACATGCCAAGGGCCACAGTGTAAGTGAAATGCTTCAAGGCCTGGCCAGGCAAGCCTGGTGGCCAGGCTATTTTTCACACGCAAACCTGTGTCCAGCGACAGCTTGGGCAGGCCTCCATCCACCAGGGTCGGTCCGTCTGGGTTAGGTGAAGAAGCGTTGTTTCCGAGGCAATTGTTTGATGCTTGACCTTGAGCCAGCCAAGGACCTGGAAAGCTGGCCGGCACTGTCCAGTTGGGGATGAAATGGTGCAGAAAGCTGTGCCACTGTGGCTGCATCTTGCATTAAGTGGCGTTGAAGCCATCCACAGAAGCGTCTCCATCGCTGTCGAGGTCTGAGAGGTGCAGGTGCGCCAGCCGGAGGGAGTCGTACTTGGGCGGAGGGGTCCCGGGTTCTGACATCGCTTCCGCAATGACCAAATCCTCATGCGCAAGAGTGCCCTCGGCCTCTTCGCTTTGGAAGCCCAGGTTGGAGTGGGCCTCCATTTTCCCAGACACAGAGGGAATCGCATCAGGGCCTGCGCTCTGGGTGCGCCTCCGCTTCAGCCCCTTGGCCCATGCAATGAGCTTCAACACCGTGATCCACAAGAAGTCAATGAGAATCTCCCCAAACTCAATCAGGCACAGCACTGACCCTCCCATCCAGAAGCCGAACTGGCCACCCAGATTGGAGAGAAGTGACACAATCTGCAAGAGAGGGAGAAATCAGCTTGTGAGAAGACCTCCTGGAAGGGAAGCCCCACTTGCCATCTGGTCCCAGGGAGATCCCTACCCCAGCTCCGGTTCTGAGAAAGTTCTCCCAGACAGAAATGCTGCTTTCCTTCCTAACTGGCCTTGGTTTGTCTTGTCCCAGGTGGGAATACTACTGGATCGGGGCAACACCCACAGCAGTTTCCTGTGAGCAGGAACAGCTTTCGATTTTAAAGACATTCAAAGTGATACTGAAGTGGACACCGAAAAATTTCAGTGCAGACTTGAAATGGTGCGCATGCAAGGCTTTGCTTTCCGGCTCCCGCGAGCTTCAAGGACAAGTGCCGCTTGGAATTTCTCGCCATCTTGTCCAAATGTGAGGTGTGGCTGCATGCTCCCCCTGCCCAGTTTAGCTCAAAGTAACGCGGCCCCCCCAGCGACCTGGACCCCTCCCTGTAATGTGTGAGGCAAGGAGGAAGAGGGAATGCCCTGATCAGCCAAGTGCCTTCCCTTCGTCACCGAGAAGCCAGAGCCTGCCAAGCGCGCGGGCTCAGCAGAGCCTGGAGGACGGGGCCTCCCCCACCGCCCGTCACGTCAGCGCGTGCTCGCAAGTCAGCCCCCTGCCTTGGCTGCGCCACAGAGCAGAGCCATGGACGGGAGGGGCTGCGCAGGCCAGGGGACGGTCCGAGCCCGGCCACGCCACTCACAGTCGTGGCCGCCGCCTCCGAGATGGTTCGGTAGTTGTATTCCTGGAAATAAATGTTCAGCTTGATGATCCCGTTTCTGTGGGAGAAAATCATCGACATGGTTCCTACAGAGTCGCCCATGGAAGCGCGACTCCCTTCCACGGCTCCGACACCTTTCCCAGTTGCTCACTGCACGTGCTTGGAGGAGCGCAGGAGGAAGGCGTGGGCTGGAGCGTCACTTCCCATGTACACGGCACATTTGGGACTCGTGGCCGGGGGGGGGCTGGCCTCCTGCCAAGGTAGCCGCAGATTCATTGCAGCTACCCAGCCCTCGTGGTTCACCCCCAGAATTCATGGGGAGTGTGGCTGGGGCACAGCGGTGGGTCCGAGCCCAGCTTGATGCCCCCCTCCCTGAGGCATTTTCCACTGTGCGCAGAAGCCATTAGGTTGCACTGCCAGGAAGCTGGGCAGGCACGGCGCCCTGTGCAACACAGGCCCTGGGGAACGGCCGCTCTCAGCAGCGCACTTGGAGCAGGCTCGCTCTACCCCCTGTAGAGGGGTGCGGTGGCAGGAGGGGCAGCCAGCCTGCAGCGATCATGGCTGGCGCTCGAACGGCCAGCAAGGGCTCTTCTCGTTTATGCTTCATCTGTTTGGCTCAATGAATGTGACGGACATTGATATCGCCAGCACTGACACTGGACACTGATGGTCGCTGAAGCTGCCTCACTCCCAGAGCAATACGACCGTGGGGCCAGCTGCCTGGAGAGCTGGTGGGCTCTCCCACACTGGAGGCGCCTCCCCGCCACGTCCCACTCCCCGCCTCACCATGCCTCCATCGGGCAGCTGGTCCTTGCCTGCGTACCTGTCCAGAGTCACATTGGTTGAGGCATCCCTTTCATAGGATAAGATGTGGAAGATCCAGTCCTGGAAGCAGGAAACAAAGGATTCTCAGCACCAGCAGGTGCGAGGCCAAAGGCTGCTGGCGTGCCCGTGAGGGCCCGGCGTGGCCAGGCCAGCTGACCGAGACGCTGCTCCCCAGCCCTGGTGAGAGGAGGCGCCTACCCGCTCACTGCCTTCCTGTGGCCTGCTGGTGCTTCTGGGCACTGACCAATGCACTGGGCAGGGTCACTGGCCCTGACCCAGCGCCTGTCCCCCAAACCTGCACCCACTGAAGCACCCCAAGGACTTGCTTGGCCAGGAGACACGCCGATGGAGCTGCCCTTCGCCAGGCAACAGCTGTGGGGAACTTCCTCCTTGGTGCGGGTGGCGAGCTCCATGTCAGGTGCTTGGAAATATGCTGAGCGCGCCATCACGCCCGTTGGAAGCAGCATGTGCTGCTTGGGCAGCCACACGCGTCTTGGGGAGCTGCTCGTTAGGCTCTTGGAACACAGGCTTCCTCCAGGACTGCAGGGATGGAAACCAGCCCAGCGCAGGACGGCCCTGTCCCAGCGCTAAGCGGCGGCTGCCTGCGCGTTTCCACGAGGCACGGCGAAGGCCGGACCTACCTCAGATGCTTCGGATGGCCAGTCCGCCATGGAAATGGTCATCTTGTACTGGGTGTTGCTGGGGAAAACAGTGGAGAGCAGAGTCATGCGCAGGGACCTTTGGCCCGGCCCATGAGGGAGTGGGCGGCCAGCAGCCAGGTGGCCCAGTCAGGCATCACCCCAAGTGGCCTCGAGTGCCTGTTGGTGGGAGGCAGATGGTGTGAGGGGAGGCAGGCTGCTGGGCAGGTGGCACTGGCACGCGCCGTGGCTTCGGGGGTCCGCTGCAGCTTGCTTGAGCCCCTGAACCCAGCCAATTTCTCCCAACATGAGTGTTCAAGCTGCCCTGAAGGAGAGGCCTCCGAACCAGGGCGAGCCGTCCGCAATGCCCCTCGTACTTACTTGCAGGTCTCCTTACAGGACTGGATGCACACCTGTCGGTGGTCCAGACTCACACGCAGGGCGGAATAACAATACGCTGCAGGGCAGAAACGGAACAGCTCTGCATTGACCTGCCGTGGATCTGAGTGGCTCAAACGGTCAGGGATATGCCAGGAAGATGAGCTATCCCTGTCAACGGTCTGTGGCCACTCCCAAATCAAGCTGCCCCTTGCACTGGCTAGAGTGGGAACTAGGCTTCCCACAGACTTAACAATCTAAATTGACAATGATAAGCCTTGACATTTCACCTTTAAACCCCCACTGAAGGTCATTCTGCAAAGAGAATGAGCATTGCAGCCCCGGCAGCTGCATTTGCAAGCAGAGCGTCTGCTCCAAGCTCATTCAAAGTAACGTGTCTTTCCAGTGGTCCTTGGTTGCGTTGAAATGAGCTTTTATTAGGGGGCTGTTAAGTGACTGCAGAACTTTACACAGTGCCCCAAATGTGAAATTCTTCCCACCGCGGAGCCCTCCCCAAGCAGCCTGGGCGCCGTGGGCACAGACAGTCATGCGCGCTCGCTCGTGGGCAGGGCCTCTGCCACATCTGTGCTCACCCCAGTCCGGGTGGTCTTCGCTGTTGCAGTACTCGGCACCTCGGGGCAGAGGAAAGGAGTAGTGGGCGCACCTGCAGTGCTGGACCATCTGGGCTTGGAAGCAGGAGCGCAGGCAGGCCTGGGGGAGGAGAGCCTGGTCAACGGCAGAGGCAGTGGTCCTGCGAGGCGGCCAGCTCCGGTGCCTGGGAGGGCAGGCCCCCATCGCGGCACCCTGCCAGGGTGGCCTTGGTGCTCTCATTCTTTCGGCCATCCAAGAAGGGCATCCAGCCGAGCAGCCCTCACTGCAGTCTGGGCTACACAACCTGAGCGTCAGGCACAGGCCACCCCCAAGTAGGGTCTTGGCCGCACGGCACTTCCAGCCCCTGTGAAACGGCAGAGCGGAGGCCAGGGAGAGGCAGGCTGAGCAAAGGTGGTGACATGTCCCAGCTACTCACCTGGATGGAGTACAGCACCTTGTGCTGGCCAGTCCCGCTGGGGTCAGCCGTGCAACCGGCACAGGGCTCGGACAGCCTCGCTTCGCCCTGCAGGGAAGAGGCGCGTTTGCCAGTGGGTCATGCCAGGAACAGCGCCCTCCCCACGCTTTCCAAAGCCAGAGGGCGACTCAGCCTTCCATGAGGCTAGACATGCACCTCATGCAAGATGGTCTAGACTCATGAGGCTAGTCATGAGTGGAGCCAGCTGGAGCCAGGGGTCAGACTAGATGGCCCCAAAGGCCCCTTCTGAGCTGCTCAGTTTATATGTCTCTATGAGTTCTTCGGTGACCGGGTGCTGCTGAGGCCTTCAGGCAAATGGGCTGAGCCAAGTCTTGACAACTGGTGCTCAGGAACACGGAAATCAAAAGCGCCCCCTCCACCGACACACGCATGGTGGGAGGCACTCTTAGCCAGATCTCGCCATTAGACCTGGAACTGCTGAGTGGCCCAGCAAGCCCACGCAACTGGGAGGTGCTTAAGAAATGGGCCTAATCCAAATGGTTGTTTACCTAAAAGACAAGTGAGGAATAACTTGAGAACTATCGTGGACATCTTAGAGTATTATGAGATACATAGGGAAAAATCAATGGCACTATTATTCATGGATGCGCAGAAGGCCTTTGACAATGTTAACTGGCAATTTAGGAAGCAACAGCTGGCTCAAATGGAGTTTGGTGAAAGGTCTATTAATGCGATATCAAGCATCTCTCAAAGGCAGTCTGCTAGGATTATAATCAATGGAGAATTTACAAATATTATAGAGATACAAAAGGGTACAAGAGAAGGATGCCCGCTGTCACCTCTGTTGTTAATACTGATCTTAGAAGTGCTAAACAGAAATATCAGGGACGATATGGACATTAAAGGTACTAGAATCAGAGATGAAAACTATAAACTGCAAGCATTTGCAGATGATCTAGTTTTCATAACAGAGGAGTCCTTTATAACAGTGCCTAAACTCCTACAAAGGATTGAAGAATATGGCGAGGTTACTGGGATGAAAATAAATAGAGAAAAGACGAAACTGTTAGTAAAAAATTTCACACAGGACCAGAGAAAAACCCTGCAGGAACAAGTAGACTTGCAGATTGTTAAAGAGGTTAAATATTTGGGAATTTATCTTACAGCCAAGTGTACCACTCTGAAAGTAGACAATTATGATAAACTCTTGAAGGATATTAAGAGTGATTTGGAAAAATGGGCTAATTTGCAATTATCCTTGCTGGGAAGAATAGCCCTAGTTAAAATGAATATGCTACCAAAAGCTACCAAAGCTTTTGTTTTTATTCCAAATGATTCCCATAAAAATAGATAGAAATATTTTTGATGATTTAAATTTTCAAATTTCAAGATTTATATGGAGAAAGAAGAAACCAAGGATTAAACTAAAAATACTTCAGGAGGCTAAAGAGAATGGGGGCTTTGGTCTCCCTGAATGGATGCTGTACTGTCAAGCTTCTGTTTTATCGTGGCTAAAAGACTGGATAACTTTAAGAAATAAGAGAATCTTGTATCTTGAAAAGCATGGTTTGCAAATGGGCTGCTATGCTTATATGTGGTATGAAAAGGCTAAGCTACATGGCTCTTTTTCAAGTCACTATATTAGAAAATCATTAATGTCGGTGTGGGAAAAGTTAAAGACAAAATTGTATAATAAATTGCCAAGATGGCTTTCATCTGTGGAAGCTTTTGTATATCCAAATGCATTGAACTTTGCAGGGATCATAAGATATGATGACATTCTGGATAAGGATGGAGGATTGAAATTGAATCAAGAAACACAAGAACAGGGATCTAATATCTCTTGGTGGCATAAGGTGCAGATACAGTCAAGATACGCTAAAGACTATAAAACATAGGGCTTTTATAAGGATTTAACAGCATTTGATCAGGTGATGCTTAAATCAGATGGGAAAATGATTAAAAGACTATATAATTTCTTCCTCGATAGGAGAATGGACGATGAACAGGTTAAGGAAGCTATGATAACGTGGGCACAAAACTTTGGATATAATATTGAATTAGAAAAATGGCAAAAGCTGTGGGAGAGAAATATTAAGGAGAGACTTCCGGTATGGCTTTGGAGCAATACAGATGTGATTAATGAACCTCCGTTATCACGCTGGTAACTGCCCGGTGGTGGGCTGTGGGGGCTCAATCTAAGCCCTGTCGGGGCTAAGATAGATTGCTTGGCGAATCTCCCAGATGATGTGGAACGGCAATTCCACATTCACTGGGAGGAAATCAAGCTTTTCTCAGCCGGGTAGCACAGGAGGGAGGAAGCCCTCTACAAGCTCTCAACATATCTTTTTTTTAGTTTAGTTTTAGCTATTATAAGTGCATCGGATTTATTGGGAATTATTTTTGTTTCTTTCTTTCTTTCTTTTTTTTTTTTTGTAATGATACCTGTGGAATAAGCTGCATTCCTTGTTAATTGATATAAAGGAAAAAGAAAAAGCCCTTCGGATGGAGGAGGAAAGGAAGTTTCCCCCCCGCCACGAAGTTGAAAAGTGGTGAATTACATAAGAAGAGAGAGACAGAGCTCTTTGTAAGTAAGGAAAAGATTTACCTTCCTTAATCTCTCCAAGGGTGAAAAATCCCTTTAAATAAATATTTTACTGTGGAATTGAATGATAGAAGGATTCTTCTTGTATGCGTCTACGTTGGACTACTGCCAAGAACTAACAGCCATCTTTCTTTTTGTTCCTGGGACTTCTGGACACCTGCCAAACCTTGGTAATTACTGCTACTATGGAAGAAATACAGAAGACACTCTTGGCAATACAGACTTCTTTAACAACTGTGCAACTATCTCAGCAGGTGATAATAATAAAACAGAAGATTGTTTTAGAGTGACTTGATGGTTTTTTCATTGAACAAAAAAGTGGCTTTGATAAATTAGACACTTCCGTTAATCAGGCTTTGGGCAAGCAATTTGTGCCTGAACAGAATATGCAAAATATTCAGCAAGCAGAAGGAAAATCTGAAACTGGAAAGACAACAAGCGTAATGGGAAAATTAACACAACTAGTGAACTCAATAAGTAAATCTTCATGGGATCTGCGTGTTATGCTGGAGGAGAAGATAGCTTGGTTACAACTCAGGACACATGATTTATTGCTGACACCACAACAGCTTAATGTAATACAATCAGTGAATTTAATAAGCAAGCTTTCATGGGATCTGCGTGTTATGTTAGAGAAGGAGAAATTAGCTAATCACTTAAGAGGGGTTTTGTTTATGTGGCTGCAATTGAAGACTCCATTACAGATATTACAATGTTTTAATGAAGAAGGAGGAAAACAGAAAGGTCTGACAGGGGTAAAGAAAAAGAAAAAATAAATATGGCAGAGGTGCAAAGGGAAGATAAGGGAACTTTATTTCAAAAAGGGGTGATTCATATAGGTTGGTATGCTCACATGCATCGTAGGAAGGCTAAGCTATTATTGCTAGTGAAACATTCGTAACTTAGCTTAATGAAATTCTGTCTAAAAGATATTATTGTTAAATGGATATTTCTGACTGTATCTATAACTGAAAATAAGAGAACTTATTATTTTAAAAAGCAATGATTTAAATGGGTTGGCAAGTTTTTATGTGATATGGGAAGGTTAAGCTATTGCTGTTGGTGATATATGTTAAAGACTGTAAACAGCTGGGTTTTTATATGGCGTTAACCATATTTGATTAAATAGTGTTTAAGTAAGATGAAACATTAGCAATTTAGCTTAAAGAAAATTGTTTTAAAAGCTATTATAAGTATTAGTTACCACCAAGTAGAGTAGTTAAGATAATTGTAGAGATGTTAAATGGATATTTTTGATGTTACTTGTAATTGTGGTAGTGAGGAAGTTATTTATTATTAGAAAATTGAAAAGATCTTGAATTGTCCAGAAATGTTTAGATCGAACTTATCACTGAAGAAGAAGATATTGCAATCTTATTTAACTTGGAGATGCTTCCCTTTGACATTGGTCAAGAGAAACAGGATTTTGCAAGAAATGATGAGACTGATTTCACTGATGAAGAAGAGGAAGATAGTGACTTCTATCAAATCTGGAATTACTTTTTTTTTTTGGCTGGACAAATGGGACTTGGTTCTGATCTAAAGATGTTTTCAAGTTATTATAAATGGATTTTAGTATGATCATAGAATGTTAAAAGATATGTAGTAGGGGTTTGACCCAGTAAATCCGGTGTGTGTGATGATTGATGTTTGTAGTATTAGTTTTAAAATCTTAATAAAATTTCTTAAAAAAAGAAAGAAAGAAATATTAAGGTAACATTAGCAACTTCGTATAAAGAAAACCTGTATACAATGTTTTATAGATGGCATCTGTTGCCAAATAGATTAGCTATATGTCAAATGGATGTTGGAAATGTAAACATAAATTGGGTACTTTCTATCATATGTGGTGGATTTGTGATAATGCGAAAAAGTATTGGATTAAAATACATAAATGGCTTGAGGAAATGTTACAAAAATCTTTAGCTTTTAAACCTGAAGCCTTCTTATTAGGCATTATACCTGCTGATATCAGTAAACAAGAAATGTATCTGATTTTACATGTAATTACTGTGGCAAGGATTGCATTTGCTCAACACTGGAAAAGTGAAGAACCACCCACCGATGAACTGATCCTAAAAAAGATCCTGGACTGTGCAGAAATGGATAGATTAACTTTGTCATTGAAGGAGAAAGAAGATACTGATTTCTATCAAATTTGGGACTCTTTATTATTGGCTAGAGAAACAGGGCTTTGCATAGATTTAAATATGTTTCTAAGTTATCATAAATGGAAAAAATAATGTGGGGGCTGACCCAGCAGGCCTGGTGTTTTTGATGATTGATGTTGTTTTTAGTTTTTCTTTGTTTTTAGGATTATAATTTTGAATAAAACTTATTATAAAAAAAGAAAAAAAAAAGAAATGGGCCTAAATGGGGTCTAGTCTGGCAAACCCCATGTTTTTTCTGACGTCAGGATGAAACTTTCCCCCAGGTTTCCTTTCTACCTGAGCGAGAGAAATGGCAGCCAACTGCCTTGTGAGTGGTCAGCCAGCCGTGCCGCTTCCCCCACCTGGATTTTCAGCCAGTCTCAGTCTTCCTACTTTGACTGTAGGAAGGGAAGGTGGCATTCCTGATGAGGGAAACAGCTGTGGGTTCTTCTCCCAGAAAGTGGAGCAGCCGAGGTGGAGCAAAGCAACCCCGCTGCAGTTTATAGAAGAAGCGACCCACTCTGGGGCCACGTGCAGACTGTCCTGCAGTGGCGGATCAGTGCCACTGCGTGGTGGTGAGTCGCACCTGGCTCTGCCCTCATGGTCCCTGCAGCCCTCGGTCCCACCCTGGACCCACTGCCTGTCCACTTGGGGGTCCTTCCCCTGAGCTCCTCTCCAATGGGAATTCAGCCTCCAGGCCCACAGAAGGTGGGCACCCCAGCCTCGCACACTGCGATGCCCTCGGGCCCTTCTCTGTCGTCGGAGTGGGTGCGCTTTGCTCGGTGCCGGCTGCAGGGTGCCTCCTCTGCTCTGCACCCTTTCTGCCTGTCATGATCACAGCTCTGAGCAGCAGCCCCTTTGCCGGGACCCCGGGACTCCTCAGACCTCCCACTTTCCTGGCACCTCTCCACGTTACAGGAACTGTTGGCGTTAAGGACACGCAGACACACTGTACACACATCCTTTTTGGCTGCGCACCCTGAACTCCCTTACAAACGAGGGTGGCGGGACAGGGGCCTATTACCTGAGAGACAGGGTAGTCTTCGTACAGATTCTTGACAGGTACGTCTGACCCGTTCATGGTGCACTCACTGTAGGGCCTGCCCATCCGCTCAAGTTCATCCTCGAGAGCAAGACAGAGCGGGTGAGCGCGAGAGGGAAGCAGAGAGGGGCAATGGCCCTTTTGTGGCGGCTGCGATTCTCCTTCAGTTGCCATCCAAAGGAGGACACCCTGCTTTGCGGAGTGGCAACTCTGCGCTCAAAGGTTAAATGGTGCAGAATTCACCTTATCACATACCATCCTAGTATAAAAAACATCAGAAACACCCACCCACAACCCTGCAGCAACAACAGTCAGCGTGACAACAATGGCTCGGTCCCCACGCACACACCCTTCTTGGCAGGCTGGCACCAGGGTACCCCAGAGAGGACGCCCTCTATTCATTCCAGCTGGAGAGCCTGCCTCTGAGCCGGGAATGTCCAGTGAGCAGGCCATTGGGGTCCTCACAAGCCACGCCCCAGTCCCCCCCCCCCCCCCGCAGTCAGCTGAAGCTCACGGCCCCGGCTTTTCCATCCCCCGGATGGACCCCTCGCATACCACCAGGATGCCGATGGAAGTCTCGGTGCCGGACATCACGTAGATGCCCTGGTCATTCAGGAACGGGAAGCTCCTCTGCTTGTGCAGCATCAGCCGGGCCCCGGCGGTTGTGGTGAGGAACGGGATGTAGTCCTGCTGGCTGATGTCCAGGATGATCTTCAGTCCTGCGGGGCAGTCCTCCCTCAGCACGCACACCTGGCCGCCGAGCCTGCTGGGGCAGTGCCGAGGGGCTCCCCCGCTGTGGCCAGCCGGCTGGCTTGGGGCTGCAGCTGCCCCCTCCCCCAGCAGGGCAGCCGCCTCCCTCTGCCAAAGAGGCATGCTCTCGTGCAGAGCTGGGCTTTTCTCCAGCTCCTCCATCCCTTTGGCTGCCTCTTGGCTCCTCCAGGCTCCCGGGATACCCACCAAACTCTGCCCCAGGGTTGGAGGAGATGAGCAGCTCCTTGTCCATGCCCCAGTTGAAGACGTAGCAGTTGCCGTGGTCTGGATGGTAGAGGTGGGTGAAGTTTCTGAAAGGGCCGACAAGCGGGTTTGTGTCACACTACCCTACCCTGGCCGTGATCCCCATTCTGCAAACAAGCCACGGAGCTCCGCACAGACGGCTGGGCTCCCTGGGAGCCGTTCCATAGGAGAGCTGCTACCAGAGGTCGGCTGGCGGGGAGCAGCCTCTGGTGATGCTTCCAGAGAATCGCGGGGAGACGGAGTGGAGCCTGTCCTGACCATCCGGGGTGCATGGCAGAGCAGAACCCCGAGAGGCCCCTTTGCTTGCAGGGCGTCTGGGCTTGCAAGCAGAATACCAGCGGGCTGGCGCTGGAAGGCCTGTTGCAGCGCAAAGCGGATCAAGAGTGGGACCAAAACTGGCGCGGAGGAACGGCAGGTCCTGCCTGACCCTTGGCCAGGGGAGGCGCCCCCACGTGGCATGGCATCCTCAGCCGGAGCACTGCGGCAGCGGGGCGGGGAGGGGCCGGGCCAGCGGCAGGGGGAGGCCAGTGGGCCCGGGGCCTCCCCAAGGGAACAGGAGGAAGCCGTCAGCTTTCTCTGCACTGGCCAGGGCTGACCCTGGAGCGCCTCTCCACTTCTGAACGTGTACTCAGGCTAACTGGAACGGGTCCCGGGAAGTGCAGCGTCTCTGAACAAGCCCTGTGACAAATGCGGGGTGTTTGCTGTGGGGAAGAGGGGGCCAGCGTGGCTCCTGAGGGCAGGAGTGGTCTCAGGGCACAAGCCAATGCGGCTGATCTGGCCAGGCCTAGGGAGGGAAGCCTCTTCCTGCTGAACACGGTTCGAGAAGGGAAAGCAGGGCTCACTCACTGCCAGCCTGAATGGGGATGTCTGTCTGTCTTGCTGGTGTCTTTCTGTCAGGGCCCGGCCCCATGCAAAGTGGGGGCTGATTCTGCAGCAGGCCCCCATCCCCCCGGCAGAAGCTCAGGGCTGCGCAGGCACCCAAGGGCACTCAAGGGCTGACTCCAGCGCTCCTGCAAGGAACAGCTGCCTGGCTACAGAGCTGCAGCCACTGCCAAGGGGAGGGGCTGGCCGGCTGGCCAGCCCACCCAGGGGAGGAGGAGTGGCCCCGTTCCCGCTCATGGGGGGCAGCAGCCAGCCAGCCAGCCAGCCAGCGCTCACCCGGGCTCCTGGAGTCTGGCTTGCAGCCTGAAGCACGAGGTCTCTGCCTGGCCGGGAGCTGCCCCCGCTCACGTTCGCAGCCTGGCACCTCCTGCCAGATCGTTCACCGCAGGGGGAGCGTCCACGGCAAGACAGGCCTTTCAGGGCTGCGTGGAGAGCCCTGGAGCGAGTCGGGCCATTTGTGGACAGGACTCCTTGGGCTCAAGCCCGAGTGGCAGCACTTCAGGCTGCGGCAGTTCAGGGTTTTAGGCCGGACCAGATCGGATGCATACATGTTCCGGGGTTCCTCCCGGGCAGTCCAGTCCCACCACTCTGAAGAAGAATCCTGGGTGTGTGGCGTGCCGCCTCCCTGTGTGATGATGGAGACCTGGACCGTCTCCCCAAGGAGGCTGCTGCCTCATGAGGAGGCTGCGCACTTTGACCAGGCCCCAGCCTGCCCCACACAAGGCGTATTCCTGCTGAGGGTGGCCGGCGCAACCATGGCCCCCTGCCGTGTGGGGAGGGAGGCGGCCGGCGGTCCCTACCCTGTGCCCTGGGAGCTCGCCAGCACTTCTTCCCAGCAAGCCGTGGGCTGCAGCCTTTGTCCGGGCTTGTCAGGCAGGCTCCTCGGGCCCGGTGTTTTGGTCCATTTGGACGAGTCGAGTCTTTCCGACTGCAGCCTGCATCCCCAACCCTAGGACTGGGCTCTGCTGAAAGGTCCCCAAGTCAAATCAAGCAATCTGAGCGCTTGGAAAGCGCTTGCGGGGTGGGGGGCAGGCAGGCGGGCAGGCGCAGAGTCCCCCCAGGAGCGAACTGCCGCTGGTCATTAGTCTCCACGCCAGCGCAGCTTCCGCGGGGAGCACAGCCGGAGCCGAGCACAGCGCTCTGCCCCAGCACCCCCGCTCGGGGGGCAGAGTCCGGCATGGGGGGCACTGCTCAAGAAACGGAGGAGCCGGCTACAAAGAATGAGAAGCCCCCCAGCAGCTCCTGGGCTCAGCACCACTGAGCGCAGAGCCTGGAGACAGATTCCCCGGCACACAGGGGCGCCTGGATCCATCCGGCACTTTCACCGACTGCCATGCCGGTGCCTCGGGGCAGGCTGCACCCTTCGGCAAAGCACCCACGGCCCCACGCAGACTTGGACTGGCTGCAGGGCAGAGAACCAGAATCCACACAGACACGGAGGCAAAACGGCAGGCCTGCCCTCCCCTCATCCCCGGCCATTGACGAGTGGGCCATGATTTGGGGAGCTGCAGCAGAACCGCTGGACCCGCCCGTTCCGCGGACGGCGCTCTGGGCACGCACCTGTGGCTGCACGGCTCGGCCCCGTACAGGCAGGCCAGGACCATGTCCTCCGCCCGGTAGCCCATCGCGACCCTCTCGCTCACGGGCAGCCGAGACAAGATGCTGGTGGACTGCAGGGCGTACCACTCGCTCACCGCCTGGGCGGCGCTGGTGAAGTTCCGGTAGGTGCAGCGGGAGCCATTGTCGGAGCACTGAGGGTGCCGCCCGAGGGAAGCGGAGGAGACAGAGGCCACTCGGTCACAGAGCACGGCAGAGCGGCGCTGGAAGGGGCTGCCGTGCCCGCCTGCCCGCCCCGCAGTCCGTGCAGGGGTCCAGGTAGGACGTCCCTGATGCCGAGCAGCCCAGCTGCCCCGGGGTGCCCCCCATGCCGCTCAGCTGGGCTCACTGGGCTCTGTGAGGCTCAGGGGAGAGCAGCCGCCCTTCCCACCAGCTTCCCACTGGGGCACCTACTGGGCCACGGGAGGCCTGGGAACTGAGTGGACCCTCCCAGGCTAACCCAGGAAGGGCACTGAGGGGGCACCAGGACCCAGGTGCCACCCCGCTCGCTCTTCCCACAGCACGGCTTTTCCCCCCACCTGGGGTAAGGCAGTGCAACCTGCCGGCACTGCCCCCATCCCCCCACCTTCCTGCAGAACCCACAGGAGACTGCAGAGCCCACAGGGGCATGGGGCAGCTCCACGGGGCAGGGGAAGAGCCTGGGGGCTGCCTGGGCAAGGCGCAGGCCGCCCCCCCCCCCCCCCCCCCCCGCAGCTCACCAGCTTCAGCGCCAGCTTGTACCTCCCTCCTTCTGGAGCTGCGAAAGAGGCGAAGCGGGGGGCCCCCCCGGGGCTGGCAGAGCCGTTCCCGAGAATGTCCAGGACGGCCGGAGGGCCCTCCTGGCCCTGGTCGATCACCACCAAGGGGAGCTGGTTCCACAGCTGCAGGTTGAGCCCCTTGCTGGCATTGGCTGGGGGGGGCGCTCCCCCGCTCTCGGGGCCGGGCTGCAGGATCCGCTGCAGGGCTGCCTCGATGAGGTCGTCCAAGTCCTTCAGGAAGGGCCTCACCTTCGAATACCTAGAAGGCAATGAGGGGCTTTCTGGGCGGTGGCCAGGAGCTCTGAGGCTTGCGGAAGCGCCTGGCTGCCCTGCCGGGATGTACGGAGGCTCTGGGCCAGCCCCGCAGGGGATCCTCAGCACACGCCTTGGCAGGGAGGGAAACCAACCGAGACCTTCCAGCAGGGCTCCCCCAGCCAACATGCTCTCCCTCTGCAGAGGAGCACCTGGCCCTCCCAGCGAAGCCACCCTCCCGCCCAGGGCGGGCAGCCCCTTGGCACCTGAAGGGCCCCTGCAGGCTAAGGAGTGCTGCGGCGGGGGCAGGAGACCCCTGCCCGGCCAGCTGTTGGGATCCGGGAGGGAGCAGGGGCATGCGCCCTCCCCTGACCCCCTCTCCCCAGTCCTGCAGTTCATGCCACAGAAATGCGGCCAGTTGTCCCTGCAGAGCAGTCAAGGGGGCCCCCCGCTACAGCCAACCCTTTTGCTGCTCCGGGCCTCCTGCTGCTCAGGGCAGGGGCAGATTCTGCAGGGTGTTGGTGGGACTGCAGCCCGGGGAGCCACGGAGCAGTGCAGTGGCACCTGGACACCCCGGCCGAGGTGGCCCGACAGGCCTGGCAGCCACCCGGGGCTCGGGGCAGCGACTCGGGCTGCCCAGCTTTGCACTCACCGGAAGGGGCTTGCATTGCAGATGGTCACGGCGGGGAAGGTCATGGTCTTGAAGCCGATGGCCAGGGAGGCTGTGACGTTGTAAGCCAGGTACGTGTTGATCAGGATGCCCCACTGCCAGAAGACCAGGGAGGCGAAGAGCAGCGTCAGGAAGAACCAGACGACCTTCTTCTTGGGGCCCTCCCGGATGATGCGCTTGGGCCCGTGGGTGTTGGTGTTGTCGCAGTACCAGACCAGCAGCTCCCGGTAGGTGTAGCCGGGGCCCTTCTGGAGGCGATGCAGAGCCCGCACCAAGTACTTCTTCAGGCTCATTGGGGAGTCTAGGGGGGAAAGGGGAACCCATCAGCGTCACGACTTCGCTCCGTTTCTCTGGGGATGGCTCGGGAGTAGCACCGGTCGCTCCCTCACTGCCAAAACTTGTGAGCTTCATTCTGGCACTGCGGCGGCTCTTTGACGTGTGTGCTTGGACTCTCCAGCCCGTGCAGAGGCTAACGTGGGGCAAAGGGCAAGAGATGGCAGGCAGCTGTGAGGGAGGCCCAGTGGACGTGGCTGGGAGGGCACGATCGGCAGACGCTTCCTCGTGGCCGGTCTCCTTGAACTGGCCTGGCCCTGGCTGGATCGTGCTCACTTTTCCATTGATGCCGTGGGAGTGGTCCGGTTTCCAGTGCCAAAGTAACTTAAACTATCTCGGGATGGTTCATTTTCTCTGACGACCTGGAGAGGACACTGAGATGCCTCTTTGCTTTAGGGTGGAACTCGGTCCCCAGGCCAAGCCCACATCAGCCCAACGCGCAGGCCCGCTGTGCAGACGGGCGCCCAGGCGCCATGTGGCGTAGCTGCCCGGGTGTCTGGCACACGAGGCAATTCTGTGCAGGGCCACCTTTTGAGCCACTTCCTGTAACTCTCAAATTCTGGAGGTTGCGCCTGGGAAGGATGCACGAACTTTTCACAAGCTTGATGGAAATGCCTGGCTCACAACCCCAAATGCAAGCGCAGTTTTGGTAGAAACTTGTACATTCTCAGGCTTCTTATTGTGTTGGTAAAATGCATCCTTTTGAAATTTAAACCACACACTTTCCAACATGGACAGCTTTTAAGGCTTTAATAAATGGATGTGCATGTTTGGGTGCCCTTTACCTGTTTGAAAATGCATGCATTTCTTTCCAGTCAACCCTGATTGATTTGAGAGAATTGGGTGAAACGAGTATCGAGGGCAGGAAAAGGGAGAGGCACGCCAAGCGCAAACGCGGCTCACTCAACCGCCTGCTGCCGCGCGAGGCCGTGGCTTGCTGAGGCGAAGCAAAGGTCTCCCCCTTCACTCCGGGGCAGGAGAAAGGGCGGCCCCTCTTCAACTCCCCTTTTCCTGGAGACCAAAGGAAGGCTCCACGGAGGTGGGAGCTGTCTAGCAGGGAGAGGGCCCAGGGCATTTTGCAATAGTTCAGTCTTTCAGATACCATCGGCACATTTCGTCCTGCCAGTGGAGGGCTGTGGCATAGCCTGCACTGGCCCTCAAGCCCTAAAAGGTACACCTTGTCCTGCAGGGTGAGAACATGCGATTCTGGATCTTTCCATCCTGAGGCAGAATTGCAAAACAAGGAACGTGAGACAGCCTTCTGCTTAGAGCATGGTGCCAAGGCTTTGAGGCAGGGGCGCTCAGCTCTGGGCTGGGGGCCATCCAGGCCCAGGGGTCCCAGCCCCTTCCCCCCTGCCGGCGTCCCCGCCAAGGTCCCTCGCCTCCCAAGGCTCCGTGGCTGGCCCAGGGAGCTCGAAGTGGAGGGGGCGGCTTCCTGGGAAGGCACCACCTGGGGCCACGTGCCTCTGCCTCCCCCACATGGGGCTGGAAGGAGCAGGAAGAGGAGCTCAGAGTGACGGGATGGGCCTCCAAGGCAGCCAGGAGAGGCGATGCGGTGAGCCGCCACCTCACCGGGCCGCAGGAGGGTTCCGAGCGGCCACAGCAGGGCAGTGCACCGTGCCCCCGCAGCACAGCCAGCCGGTCAGCGCTGGCGTCGGGGGCCAACTCGTAGCGGCAGCACCTCCTGGCATTTAGCTCTCCTCTCCTGTGAGGAACCAAGAAGCCCCGTTTTATCCAACAAGCCTTGAGCCAGGTGGGGCGGGGAGCCTGTGGCTGGCCCAAAGCCACCCTGTGATCTCCCGGCTCCCCAGCCCTGGACCACCATGCCCCCTTGGCTCGTGGGCACACGCGCCACTCTGGTTCTGCAATACCTGGCTCATGTGTGGGGCACCCAAGCCCCTTCCCAGCCAGGCCCTCTGGGCATATTTCCCCCCAGCAAGACCCCTTGTTCCCCAAACTATTTGCATGACTTTTTTTTCCCGGCGCTTGCACTTTCCAGATGCTGCCCAGGCATGCGTCTTCAACCCCGGGGCAGCACCAGTGTGAACAGGAGGAGTGAGTTTAATGCTTGCCACCTCCTGTGTCGCTCCCCTCGTTCTCCTTTTGCTCTCCCATCTTTTCTCATGCTGCTTTAATGGGATTAGAAAAGGGCAAGAAGGCACCGAGGGCAGGGGAGCTTCCAGTGCCCCAGGGAAGGGCCTGGCGGGGCCCTGCATCCACCTGGCGCTGCTCCCAAGAATGAGGAAGAGGCTTCCTGTTGGCTCCGCAAAGGGAGCATCCGCAAGCTGGGGCTGCAGCAGAGCCACACGTGGTCTGGCCCGGCCTCTGCAGACGCACTGCGATGCGTCTCCCAAGCAGAAGGGATGCTCCTCAAAAGTAAGAGGGTAAGTTGTTCAGAAAGAGTTGAAGGGGAAACTGAACACTTTTTCCCTCTTTGATATCTGCTGTTCGAATTTTACAGCAGCTGAACTTCCTGTGCCAGCCCTTGCCCTCACATCAGAAACTACCCGGTTCATTCCTCCAGTCAGCCTCCAGCCTGAGGGCTTTACCTGTAGTGGTCCTTCATCTGTATTCCCCTAAGAAGGCCCTGCAGACTCTGAGCTGGAGAGCCCACCCCGGCCCCGCAGGGCTCACTCCCCTGTGGACCAGCCAGTGCCCCGCCACCTGCCATCCACGGCGCGTGGCATGGCAGCGGCTCCCGCTCCCTGAGAAGAGCTGCCCCGAGGAGCGGAGTTAACGCAGGCCAGCTGCTGCGCCCTCCTGCTGCTCCGGGCCTGCCCCTCATTTCCCATTGCGGGAGAAGGCTGCAGCTCAGCAGGAAACAGAGTGCTTCCGGGGGGGGGGGGGGAGCAGCTGGGGAGAAGTTTGCCCTCTCCTGCTCAGGCTCTCGGCTGGCCTCTGCACCTCCGGCTGGAGTGCAGGGGTGCAAACACCAGCCAGGAAATGGGCCAGAGGTAGCCATGCTGGTGTTCGCCCCCTCTAACCTGGTGGAGCCTGGGTTAACTGGCTGCAGCCCCTCCTCCCTTTTCGCCTGAAGATTTTGACCATGCGGGCCTCCCACCTGTGGCTTCAAAGACCTCAACTGATGTGGAGCTCTCAGAACCTTGCGTGATTTGAGGGAATCTGCCACCTGGCCAAAACATCGGCTGCCTTTGGCCTGGCAGTCGCTCTGCTCAGGTCCAGCCTCGCTTTGCCTTACCTGCAGCGCTCCCAGATTCTCCTGCAAGGGTGTGTGGATCCATTGCTGTCTGGAGCTTCAGCCCTTGCCGCTTCGACTCAAAGGGTGCTGCAGGAGGGAAGAGGGAGCAGCCACCCATCCACCGAGGGAACGCGGGACGCCCTGGAAGCAGAGCAAGCAGTGGCTCAGCCACGGAGTCTCTCTGGCGCTGAACTGCTCCAGCCTCTGTGGCAGGGAGGGTGCGCGTGGGCACTGGGGTCAGTGCCAGGGGGGCAGCCGATTACTGGTGCCTTTATTTTCCCATGCAGTAAAGGGGAGGGTGGATGATGCACCCACAGAAACCTTCAAGGTACCTCCTCAGGGCCACACAAGCCTCTGCAAACTGCAGGGCATGGCTAGGCTGCTGGGGGCTGCCCGGGGGTCTGGAGGAGGGGCAGCTCGAACACGTGACCCTCAGGATGGGCAGCGCTCCCCAGCAGGGGGTGGGCTCGCCGCCCTCGAGGGACCTGGGTGGAGGCAGCAGCCCTGCCGGGGAAGTGCATTGGACAGGGGCCAGGCGGGGGCGGCTCTCGCTGGGCTGGTTGCTTGCCATGGGCTTGCTTGACTCTCTAGAGCAGCCCAGTGAAGTCAGGCATGTTCGCACGGAGGAGACTATTTGGGGTGGGAAGTGGTGGGAGGACATAGGCAAGCTCCCAGAGGAGAGGACGATCCAGGCCTCTTGCCCTGCCCCCCTTCACAAATTTAAGTGAATGAGGGAAGATGACGACGGGATAAAAACCTTCCTGCAAGCCTCCTGAGCATTCAAGGGAAAACTGGAGGGTCAGGAGACCGTTGCTGGGTAGGGGGCTTCCTTGAGAGGAAAGCCTTCGAGAGCCATTTCCACCCATGTGCATCCTGCGCCCACCTGCTTTGACACACTAAGGCATCTCAGGAGCTCCCCAAAATCCTGCATCTCCGCGGACGACGTCCTGCAGGGACCCCTTCACAGGTCGAGGCCTGCAAGGTCTCCTAGCAAGCAGGTCACATCTGCCATCAAAAAGGCCCAGTTTCCACTGCAGAGAATCTTGTTTGTGGACTGGCCTTGATCGGGCGCTTAAGCAACGAGGTGGAGGGGAAGCGCTTTTATGAGCACAGCAAATGTGCACACTTAAAACAGGCTGAAACTGGACTCCGGGGCTGGATTGTCTTGGCTCGCGAGGTGCGCACTTCCCCTTCTTCATTGCACAAGCAGGCCAAACAGTGCTGAGCTGGATCTCCACACTGGGAAGAGCAAACAGTGCGAACCCCTCGAGACCGCTCCCTCGCCTTCTTGAACTTTGGCTCTTGCTCTGGTTTAAATACGGATCCTGCAAAGGAACGGCGGAGGCAGGTGGGGGGGCATCTGGGGCAAGGGGCTGCCGCACACGCATTCTGTCGTGCAGGTGGTCCCAGGGGGCATTTCCATCCCATCTTTCCTCCAAGCGTATTGATAGTTGCCTTGTGTTCTTAGCTTAGCCAGTCTCTGCTGACTACAGTCTCCTTCAAGTTTTGGATTCAGGATCTTGTTGGAAATGGAAACCTTCCTCTGAAGAATGCAGGATGCGGTTTGGCTCTCTACTCCCTGTGCTCCCTCGATCAGATCACGCTGTGTGCTCCTGCCACGCTCGGCCAAGCAGCCGGTCCCCGGACTCCTGCCCCGTGCATCTGCCCCATGGCATCTCCGCAGGGCCGGCGGAGGCTCCTTTCTGCGTGCTATGGAACAGACCTTCCCCAGCAGCCACACCGTGCTGGCATGCATGCGACAGGCAGAGGCGCAACGGGCAGCGCCGGCGCAGAGCCCCTCAGGCAGCTGGGCGGCGGGGGGGGGGGCGTCCAGCACAGCACGTGGGGTGCACAGGGGCCAGGGCACACCCTGACGGGGCGAGCCGTGACCTGCGGCGCTCTGGTGGCTCCCCTGCGACTAGCCCTGGGAAAGGGGCGCTCGGGCACTGCCAGCAGCCCATCTTCCCCTGCAACCGAACTCACTCCTCCTTTCATAAAGCGAGGGCTTTCGGCTGGTGAGGGCAAGTGCCAGCACTCGGCTACGCTCGGAAAAGGAGAAGGGCCTCTTCGGGCACCCCAAGTGCCCCCGGGGGAGCTGTGCGTTCTCCCCTCCTTGACCCCAGGCGGATTTCACGCTGCTCTGCGGGTGCCCCCTCCCAAGCCAAGGGGCGCCAGCGCTGCGACCGCTCCTCCAGCGGAGCCGCGCTCAGTCCGGCTGCCCCTTTCCCCGCGTCCCCGCGGGCGCTCCGGAGAGGCCTCCCCGGCGGGAGGTCGCGGCACGCCGTCGCGCAGCCTTCCCAGGTGGGGCCGTGCCGGCTCCGCGCCTCGACCACGCCGCCTGCCGCGGCGCCGTCTCTTTCCGCGCTGCCCACCCGCGGCCGGGCCGGCGGCACCGAGGGCAGCTGACGGCGGCTTGCCCGGGCAGGGGGCCCGGCGGGGCGGGGCGGGACGCGGCGCGGGCTCGCTCGGAGCCTCCGTGCGGCTGCGAGGCGAACCGGCGGCCGCCAGGCGTGGGGAGCGGCAAGCGCGGAGCCGCCCGAGGACGCGGGGGCGAGGGCGGCAGGTGGCCGGTCTGTCGGACGGGGCGAGCGCGGGCCGAGCCGCGGCGCCGGGTCCTGCCTGCACGGCGTTCCGGACGGAGCCTTCCGGGGTCCCGCGAAGCGGCTGTTCGGCGCCCGGCAGCCACTCCGCCGAGCCCTCGTCGCCGGGGACCGGGCGCCTCGCGTCCCCGCGCCGCGGCCCGCCCGCGATCCCCGGCTCACCTGCCTGGCTGGCCGGCCGGCCGGCCCCGCAGCCGCTGCTCGCTCCTTCGGGCGTCTTCCCCGGCGGGGCGGGCAGACTGATGCCGCGCAGAGCCCGCAGAGCCCCCGCCCACCACGTCGCCGCCTCCCGCCGGCCGTGCCCGGGCTCGCCCCGCTGCCCGGCTCCTTCGCGGGGCGGCCCGAGAGGCGGCGGGGCGCGGGAAGCGCTCCCTGGCGGCCGCCACGCTCGCGCCCGCCCTGCGCAAGGGGCGACCCCGCGGGGGGCCGCGGGGCGCTCTGAACAAGCTCGGGGCCCCACCGCGGTGATGCGCCCGCTGCCGCCTCTGAATGGGGCGCCGCATCCCAGGCTAGGCCACCAAGGCCCCGGCTCGCCCCCCTTCCGCAGCCCGGGCCGTCCCCTGGGGGGGAGCCGTGCCCCCCCACTCCATCGTGGTGCCCCCCTTCACGCCCCGAACCCCTGCAGGACATGGTTCCGCCTTCCCCGGGCCCCGCTGGTGCAGACACGCGGCTGTGGGGGTCAGGGCGACGAGGCCGTGCCGGTTCCCCTCGCTGCGCCCGGGACTCTCATCTCCCCCGCAGCCAGGCAGGGGCGAAGCACCTTCCCAGGACTCCTGGCACCGGGGGGGGGGGGGGGGGGGGCTGGCCGTCCACTGGCTGCTGCGGTTCTGCTGCTGTTTGATGGGGATGTTTGACCTTCTCTGGGCATTACTGCTGCATATTTTGAACCGAAAAGATGTTATTTCAAGCTATTTAACATAAGCTTGGTACAGTGTGCCTGGCGAAGGTGGCGGCCTGCATCAGGGTGGGAAATGGAAAAGAAACAAGCTGCTGGGTCCCAGTGGCATCCATGGCAGAGCACGTCATGTTCTCAGGCGCAACCTCACTGATCTCCGAACAGAAATACTTCACGTGCCGTTAGTGTTGGCCTTGGGACCGGAGCAATGGAGGGCAGCCAATGCAGCCCGGGACTGTAGGAAAGGAACACGGCAAGATCCAGAAAATCGCAGGCCCATTGGCTTCAGATAAAGCTAATGGATTAAGATTAGCTTCTGGGTAAATTGGTGGAAATGGTTATTACAGCTTGAACTGTGAAGGCTGTAAGAGGACAAGGTGTCTGGCAAGGCACGCCCTCCCTCACCAACCGCCTGGTGCTCTCTGGGAGGGCTCCTCACCAAAGATTCCTGAGCGGCATTGGAGGAGAGGCCGCCTTGGGAACGACAGCAGATTCCAAGGTGACATCAACTTAGAGGTGGGCAGTGAAGTGGCCAAGTTTGTTGATGGCACCAAATCATTCAAGATTGCTACACCGAAACAGAATTATGAAGAGGTCCAGCAATACGTCTCCGAGCAGGACAAATGGGCATGAAAGTGGCACACCAGCCCCTGCAGACAGATGCAGAGCGAGGTGGCTTGGGCCTCCAGACCCGCATTTCCCAGGACACGGAGCTGCTTGGACGAAGGGAGGCACCCAGAGAAGCAGCCGGGCAGTGCCCCCCCAGCCCTCCCCTCACGCCAGCCCTGGACCAACCCCGGGGCTCCCGTGCGGCACCCCGTCGTTCCGCACGTGCTGCGAAGCGCAAGGCCGCCTTGAAGCCCATGTGTGTTTCTTGCTGAAGCGCAATCCTGAGCAGAGGAGAAAAGGGCAGCCACTGGCGTGGCCTCCGGCCATGCCTGGGGTGAAGGCACCTGTGGGGCACCTCGGAGGTGGTCCCCACCCTGAAGTGACCCTGTGGCCCTTGCCCTCCCTTCGGTGCCACTTGCCTGGCTGGGCTGGATTGCCACCGAGGTCATGAGGCTGAGTGGGAAACCCAACGCTGGCTGCAAGCCAGGTCTGCCTCAGAGGTGGGGCCAGGCAGGCCCGGCTGCTGCTGCTCCCTCAGCTCTCACAGGGCGGCTGGTGTGAGAAGGTTCCCAGCAATCTTGCACTTCAGGCACGAATGAGGCCAGGGCCACATTGCTTCGGCTATGACATCATGCTGGGCGTCACAGGAACTGTGGCGGAGAGGGAGCAGCCCGTGGGTGTGACGCTCCCTGCCCGAATGCTTGTTCTGCCACCCACATTCCCAGCACTGCTGACCTGTTCCAGCCACGCTGTCCCTGGGCATCCCTGTGGCATGCAACTTCCTCCTCTTCTTGGAGGTTTGGCTCCTCCCTAGCTAAGATCTCCTGATGTCTCCAGTCGGGCGAGTTTCCACATGGAGGAAATGGCTGGCTCCTCAGCCAGAAGGGTAGGTGACCTGTGAGCCGTATTCTGACCCAGTCCTGGGTCCAGCGAACTCAGCACTGTTGACTCCAAGTGGCAGCAGTGGCGGCTCTCTGGACTGGAGGCAGGAGGTTTTCGGCTATCCCAGAAATGTTGCTGGGCA